GAAACACAGAAGAGAAAAGAACAACAACGCAAGACGAAAGAACAGAAGAACCGAAACGAAAAAAAACGACAAGAAAAAGACAACGACACATAAACAAAGCTACACTCAAACACCTCAATCACATCCTCCACCACTCCACCCCACCTCACTCCACCTGCTCCTCTACCTCCTCCTCCTCCTTCTTCTTCTTCTTCTCCTCCTCCTCCTCCTCCTCCTCCTCCTCCATGCTTTTAAGGTTGACAATATCTGGATATTTACTTCATGGTGTCACTTTCCCATAAAAACAGCATCTAGTCCCCCAGATCGATAGAACACAAGTACCCAGTATTACATTGAGATGTTGACACACACACACACAGCGCTCTTTCATTATCTGTGTAACCTAAGATGATTAAATACTTGTCACTGGAAGTTAAATTGTCCATTACCCATCTAAGATGAATTGGTCTTTAAATGTCCTATTTAAGAGACCTGATAAGAAGTGCATGGGGGGGTGCAAATACTCACTGTTGTTCATAATTTATTTGTTGACAGAAAATAACATTTAGCTGTGGACATGTGTACTGGAAAATATTGAAAGACAAAAACAAGGATCCTTGAAAAAATATTTCAAGCCTACAGTATTTTGACGAATCCATTGTAAGCAGGAAAAATTTTATTATCTACTGTATGTGATGTAGCTAGTGATAGTGAAAATTCCTCTGTAAAGGGGACACATCATTTGCATAAACTTCCCCCAGCCTTTTCATAGTTGATTAAGGGTCAACAATGAGGCGTTCTCATTTCTCTGCATGGATCACATCAGTGGTAACTGCCATAGCTCATAATTTAACCTGAAGTTAACACTTAGTTCTCATTGTTATTCCTCAATATGCAATGTTACATGCTAGTCTCTCCTCCCAGCCCTCTTATTTGTCTCTTTTAAAATGCCCCATAGTCTTTATATTAAATCAAGCTGTCAGAGTGATTCCCTTGAGATGTTGGAATTGCAGCTTTTCCTTCCAGGTCAGTGTGGTGGCCTCTTTTCCACACTCTAGCCTTGGCATTCATCTTTTAGCTGCAAATGTGTATAGGCTACTATTCAATGATACCTTAAACCTTAAATGTATCTGTCATTCTTTTTTATACAACAAGTTATTGTGGTTTTATGACAGCCCAAAATATGCATTATTCATTTGTTTTTGGCACTTTTATCATGATAAAGCTAAACCAATATATATTTGGAGCTAATTTGGTATTACCCTAATTAGCAGAAGAATGATGCCAACCACACACCCATTTTCTGTGTGGAACATTGGTAAGTCAGGTCTGGGCCACTGTGACCAGCCTCGCTATACAGTACTGCTCCATTCACTGCGCACGACCACGGATGGGACTGGGACAACACGGTGGAATTTATCCAAACAGGACCTGCTATTCGATTTCACAACGTCCGACCAATTAGAGTGTTGCATCACACCTTGACTTATGTAAATTACTTGGTCTTATTCAATCATTCATAATGTGGTACAATGCCCTTCAGAAGAGTCCAGATTTAACTGAGTGACCAGGTAGCAACTAAATGCCCTCTGTTATTTTTAGACTGAGACAGTTGGCAGGCAAGCAGTCCTTATTTTCTCAAACACATTAATGATAGGAATTAATAAAATGTTAATTCCATCTATTCTGCAAGTGTCAGCTGAACTAAAGACGCAATCACAGCTGCAAATGAAAAGGTAGGCTATATGACTGAATAAATGGATTGAAATCATTCAAGTAATGATTTACTCCTCTAAAACGTAACTATTCATCTTTCTGAATGGGATCAATTCATTGGTTGACAGGACTAGCTCAGAAAACGCGTTGTCATTCGGTTAGACCGTGTATTATTGTAGTGGTGAAATTCTGAATTGTCTCTCTGGTTAGCATTACTACATACTAATTTATTTCCGGCGCTATCTCAGTGTGTGTGTGTGTGTGTGTGTGTGTGTGTGTGTGTGCTCAGAACGCTCCCGTGAGTGGGGGTCACTAGTGTTTGTTTTGGTTCTGGTTTAACACAATGGATAGACACACCCATTGAAAAGCTGATAAAAGATCAACAACAGATAAAACATATATGTTGTTGAGTTTTAAGTTTTTCGAACGTTGCAAACTTTTGGCATGAACTTTACATGCATGACTTTTCTTGAATGTTCTGTTTTCACTGGCCAGTCGTTTTCATGGAATTTCATAAGTCATGATTTTACATTTTATTTTGCAATTAGTGTTGCAAATAGTGATTAAATCATACAGGCCTTAACTGGCGCGGTTATCAACAAGCTCAAGTGAAAACGTAATAAAATATGCAATGGTGTTCTCTAGGCTGCCCTGTGCAAAGCATCAATGAAAGCGAATTCAGGTTGATGTTATGTGATGGCTTTCGAATGGCATTTTTTAAAAAGTCTAATCAAAAATGATTACACATTATGAAGTATTTTTATATTTTTATGTGGTAAGATATCAATAGATATGAGAAGTATTGGTTAAAATCCATCTGAAATTCAACCAATCCGACAGGATATAATGCACTATTTTTGCTACAGCCTACTCTGAAATTCCTGCAATGAAATAGGTCAGATTGACTAAATTCACATGTTAATTTGACCTGTGAGCTCGCTTTGATTTTTTGATTATGTTTGAAATAGCCTACCATTTCCAACAAAATCACCATAGGCCTATCCGTTTCCAACACTATTTTGCCTACTCTTAATTCAGAATCGAAATAAAATATTCCAGGCATTTTGAATTTATAGGGTTGAAATGTGTTTTACCTTGAAGTGAAGAATAAAGAAAAACTTAGTAAATGTTATGAATCTACAGTATAATAACTTAGTAAATGTTATGAATCTACAGTATAATAACTTAGTAAATGTTATGAATCTACAGTATAATAACTTAGTAAATGTTATGAATCTACATTATAATAACTTAGTAAATGTTATGAATCTACAGTATAATAACTTAGTAAATGTTATGAATCTACAGTATAATAACTTAGTAAATGTTATGAATCTACAGTATAATAACTTAGTAAATGTTATGAATCTACAGTATAATAACTTAGTAAATGTTATGAATCTACAGTATAATAACTTAGTAAATGTTACGAATCTACAGTATAATAACTTAGTAAATGTTATGAATCTACAGTATAATAACTTAGTAAATGTTATGAATCTACAGTATAATAACTTAGTAAATGTTATGAATCTACAGTATAATAACTTAGTAAATGTTACGAATCTACAGTATAATAACTTAGTAAATGTTATGAATCTACAGTATAATAACTTAGTAAATGTTATGAATCTACAGTATAATAACTTAGTAAATGTTAAAATGTCTCCCGAGTGGCGCAGTGGTCTAAGGCACTGCATCGCAGTGCTAGCTGTGCCACTAGATATCCTGGTTCGAATCCAGGCTCTGTCGTAGCCGGCCGCGACCGGGAGACCCATGGGGCGGCGCACAATTGGCCCAGCGTCGTCCAGGGTAGGGGAGGGAATGGCCGGCAGGGATGTAGCTCAGTTGATAGAGCATGGCGTTTGCAATGCCAGGGTTGTGGGTTCGATTCCCTCGGGGGGCCAGTATAAAAAAATTAAATGTATTCACTAACTGTAAGTCGCTCTGGATAAGAGCGTCTGCTAAATGACTAAAATGTAATGTAAATTTATGTTATGAATCTACAGTATAATAACTTAGTAAATGTTATGAATCTACAGTATAATAACTTTGTATCTAGGGCATTTGTCTCTTGAAACCATCCTCTCCAGGCTAGATGCGCCAATATTGTTATTCCTCTGACAGTTATATCTTCTGGTTATCTCCGGTTATCTCTAACAGGCAGCATTGTTTTCTGCAACGTCTCTAAAACAGCTCAATTACACATCTATTATCTACCCATTGTCATTCAAACTTCCGATTTAGATATAGGTTTTTGTTTTGTGTTTTCAATTGTTTTCATTTCAGTAGGAATGCAAATGTATATTTATGTATGTACGTATATATGTCTGTACGTGTGTCCATGTATAAGTATGATCATTTTATTACAGTGTCTTATTAGCCCATGTGGGCTGGGCATCATGAAGATGCATGACACTATAATGAAATCAATCAATCAATAAATCATAGGCCTAGCCAATCGTTGAGTCGAACTATGATAATTATGTTTAATAAAAATGTAATTAAATCTATAAGATATAAAGTTCCATTTATGAGTCTATTTAGATCCTGTGAAATTATGGTCAGACATTAAAACAATAAGTTAGACCCACTTTTAACCGGAATTCATAGCCAACTATTAGGCAACAAATGGGAAAATTATCAATAGGCTATACATTTCGTCTTAGTCTACTGTTTATTTTTATTTTTTTATTTTTTTTGTCTATTAGCTCAAATGATTTGATGAGTGCTGGCTAATTGTGTCCAGGTAGCCTACTCTTTACATAGCCCGGTTAAAAACACACATAGGTACTTGGTCTGTACTAAGACGTCTGACCCGTGTGTAATAACGCAATTGACTGAGTGAAATGAAAATAAACTGCGGCCAGATTAGGGTGGGTTTACGAGCTGGTCTCTCCCCTAAACTAGCTCTTTCCAAAGAGAGAAGTGGGTTTGTTGTGGCTTCATTCAATGTATCGTTTGCAGGTGATGCCAGGCGCAGATAAGAGGCCGCCGATCCTTGTTGGCTGTCTAGACTTGTGACTTAACTAGTGAAACTGAATTGATCACAAAAATTCGCCCCAAGAAAGTAAATGACCAGTAAATGACCACCTTACTTCCGATCTCCCAGCCTTAGAAAAACGATTATGTTAAGTATTATGTAGGCTGCGCTGACCCTCAAATTGAGGGTGTCTTCTTTACTTTATTTTATTTTTTATTGTACATTCTACATGCAAGTTTTAAGCTAAAATGTTTTTTTTTTAGTTAAAATGGTTAAATAGGCTGCGTAATGAAAACAACATAATAACATGATAATAAGCATTTTCCCCAAATCAACTGTCCTTTCAGATTAACCTGATAATAGTCATAACATTCAACATTCATATGCAAATGTCTTCATCAATGGACCCTCAGTATTCGATCATTGACGTTATAATCCATCATTTTGTATCACAATTTTAATAGGCCTACTTTTCGCCGTGGTTTAAAACCTAATGCAGGGATAAATAGGGAACTGAATCGGATTGTAAACTTATTCACCTTATTAGCACAATTATTATTTTTATAAATTCAGAAATATATACTGTAGGTATTTAATTTGTTGCAAATAGGCCTACACCTCTGTGGTTTAGAAGCTCGGGGAACTGGGGGCCTATAAGATTTGCATGAAGCATACTCGTTTTTGGAGTACTTTTGGTGGAAGGTTTTGATGTCTATAGCTCAAATAACCACTGGTCAATTTGATTAACTGCATGTCACAGGCTGAGTGAGGGAACGGTGGGCGTAAGCCTATCTTGGGAAATTCTACAAGAGTTTATGCAAAGACTGTACCTTAGACATTATAAAGATTTAACAGTTTTATTTTTGATCAGTTATTAATTCCTTTATGGATCGTTGTCCTGACAATAAATAACAATAACTTACTTTTGTTCGAGAGGATCAAACAACCTGCCCTCTTCCTATTAAGATAAAATATTTAACAACAAGAATCTGTTTTATATAATCTTCGGAAATCATGCTCCTTTTTAAGACAAACACACGAGTCTATGGACTTGATAACGAAATACATGTATCAAAAATCACATAAAGAAACCAAGAAACGATATGTTCACAATGAATTGCAGAATGTCCATCTGGTTCGACATCAAATGGCTCCAACGCAATATGGAGGGAGGCTGTTTTGTAAATCCACCACGAGAATCTTCTATCTTCTTTCGGTTCATGCAACGAAGTTCTGTTTTTGTTTGGTCACTGATATCCTCAAAAATGCTGAACTGAGTCTTGAAAAGAAGGGCTTTCGTTCGCGTTGCTTTATAGTGCCGTTAGGTAATTGTTCAAAATTGAGAATATGTAACTTTCTCCTCCATGTCCGAAACTCCTCCTCCGTCTTTAGGACGCTGTGATGAGCTGGTCACATGCAGGGGACCAGGGACCGGGCGGGAACATGCTAGGCCTGGGACCGAGGCTGGTGGCCCGGTCTCACGTCTCCACGGGACTGGGTACCATGCTGTTCGGGGTGTCGGGTAAGTGCGATGACAGAGAAGTCACGTCGCTGCCCGAGGAGTTTCCCAATGAACCCGATTCCGAAAAAGACACCTGTAACGTGCAAAGACAGTGATGTCAAAATAAATCTGAGTTCTTGCTTTCAGTTTAGGCTACAAATGTTGCCACTTCTGACGTTGAAAATTACCATTGAATGTAATTACGTATACAATTTCAATTGATTACATTAAAATGATGGCAAAAAAAACTCAGAAATTGTCGTCATCTAAATTAATGTGTGCGTGTGTCCGCGTGCGTTCGTGTGTGTATGAGAGAGAGGGAGAGCGTTTGAATGTGTGTTCGTGCGTAATTACGCGTACCCACATGTGCACCCACATTAGCATGTAAGTATAGACTACCCCAGTGTGTCTCCTCTATCTTACCAGTTGTTGAAAGGCCGGCTGGTCCAGATCACTCTGCAGGGCGAACTCGCTGAGGGCCTTCCAGGGCGGCTGGTATGTCTGCACCTCCACCGAGTTACCCTGCACCGTGTTGTCGTGCCTGATAGGGCTTCTGGCAACCAGAGGCGTACCTGTGAGCCCCTGTAGACTCTAATACGAGATTAGAATAGGAAATCCAAATTAAATCTACGCTTTGGTAGAGGAAGAAAACCATCACATTCACAGATCAGAATGTCAGGATTTTGTTCTGTAGTCTTTGCTTTCCAATACAGGTCATGCACAATTGAATTCTTGATTCATTATTTATTGGCAGGTTGAATACAGAAAAACAATAATGAAAGAACAGCTAGTGGAAATGACCGGCCTCGGACCAAGGGTTATTCAAGTGTGGCACTGGTCAAATCATTCCAGAGAAACTAATTCTAGAGACGGCATGATCATGCTTTGCCTTTAAGAGGAAACCATTTGGTTTATTTGCTGACCAACCTGGACTCAGGGGTAGACGTAACATAGTAAACGAAAATCCGGGAGACTCATATTTGTATGATATGTACGTTTGGTATGGTATTAATTTGTGGATGTCCATCATCCATTTCGAATGAAATGTTACTAATTACAATTCGTATGATATGTTACTAATTACAATTCGTGTATAACCCGGATTTTCGTTAATTATGTTATGTCTAGTCTATGAGACCGACCAGCCTGTGCTGACATACCTCAACTATCGCAAAAATATAAGGATTCAACGATGAACCAAACATAAAGAAAAAGTAGTAGGCTAGTAGAAGTATAAAAAATGTTTCCGAGATTAACTTACGAAGATGCTTACAGTCTTATCACTGTGTTGCTGCTGCTGAAGTTGCTTCATGAGAATAGATCTCTTTTTGTCTTTGCATCTTTTATTCTGGAACCAAACTCGAATAACCCTTGGGCTGAGGCCGGTCATTTCCACCAGTTGTTCCTTCATTAGCGCATCTGGCCGCGGATTGGCGTTGTAGCAGGTCCGTAACGTGTGGAGCTGCTTCTCGTTCAAAACCGTTCGCACTCGTGTTGTCTTCTCTGACTGCTTGTGGACGTGGTTTCGGTGCGGTGCCCGTACTGTCACCGGCTCTGCTGAAGAGAGGCGGAATTATATTTAATAAAAAAGGAATTTAACGAAAGTTTGACTTTAATATTGTTATTGTTATTGTTATTATTATTATTATTATTATTATTATTATTCTAGGCTATGTACATGCGTTTTTTCCTGGAGCATGTTCATGCCATAGGCTATATAGACCGTTAATAACTCTTATTCATCTAAAATATAACCTATACAACTCTTGCCATTCGGTATAATATATATATATTTAAAAACGATAACAATCTCTCCACACATACTCCATTTGATCTTGGTATTCCCCCCTAAAAATACTTCGCCCATATTGAGCAACAATTATGGCTAGGCCCCAATGACAATGTAATTCTAAAAGCATGTAAGCTTTATTGCATTATAGTTCAACAGGCTACAGATTCCCATCCACGCACTATGACACACTCCTTGTTTATGTCATGCTTTAGTTAAATTAAAAATACTTAGTCAATTAGGCAACAACAACTGTGTGTAGGCCACTTGTTAACATTTCTATCTACTACAATTCTTTAATTGGCCCATTAAGAGATTATCTGTAAAATCGTATTTATTGTTATCCAGATGGTCCGGATAGGCCTAACGTCAAGGAGTAGGGATTAACCTTTGAAGTTATTATAGCCTACTGTATTTGTATTATTGTGTCAACACTATTAAATAGTCATGTAAATTAAGCTATAAAAATCCTTTAAAATATCCAAACTCACTTATATTCAAAATCTATCCATTTTAAATGCTTGGAATAAAAAGAAAATCATATCTCGGTGATTTTTCATGGAAAAGTTTAAAGGTCAGTCTAATATTGGTCGTCAATTGCCTAATATAGCCTAGTTATTAACATCTTAATGACTCGACATTTGCATCTGATTTTTTTTCTGGAGATCGTTATGATCATAAAATTAGGCCTATTGATAATTCTAGGAAATATATTTAGGGATTATTATTATCAGGCTATTATTATGAACATTAATATAACAATGAATATGATCATTCTGATTAAGATGATTGCCTCCATATTAGTATTATTGTTGTTGTTGATGTTGTTGTTGTTGTTGTTGTTATTATTATTATTATTATTATTATTACAGAAGTCAGTGGTGGTGTTGTTTTGGATGTGCAACTGACCTGCTAAGTGTAGTGATCTGTTGGAGTGGATATGTCCGGGGCTGATGGGGCTTCCGGCGGAGCTCCGCTCCATTAGTAAGCTGTGGTCCGCCCGGCACAGCAGCTCCTCGTCCCGGAGAGAGAACTCATCCCCCGGCAGGAGCTGCCTGCTGCACACCGAACATCTGAAACACTCGATGTGGTACACGTTGTCCCGGGCTCGCATCACCAAATCACTGCTGCTGAATCCCAGGTTGCATTTTGCACATTTTATTCCGAATAACCTGCAAGGAATAAATTAAACAAACAATATATGGAATTAAACAACAACTTCTAACAGAGCCATTTGATTTGTTGTTACTGCAGTTTTTGTTCCAAGTTTTACATTACTAGGTATACTTCGAACGTCAGAAACAAGGCTAAGATACATATGCTATTACTGTGCACTGTTCAAAGTATAAAAGTTAATTTGAACGAATTATTTTAATTGTAGAAAAGCTGCTTACTTTGAGGTCAAATTGCCTTTTATGCGTTGAACTACAACTACATTTTGCATGGAATTATGCAGACTGAGCAAACATTAAATAAACGTTCCAAAACAAGGACATTTGTATTTTCAGGACAATGTTACTCAGATAGGCCCTTCAAAATACATATGTTCCTTCATAATATCATATACTGTGTAGGCCTAATAAGCCTCTGTGATTTAGGTACAAGTCTTGCATGTATATGGATTTACTATATATTCGTTTTTTAGGCTACCTCCTCATTCACACCAACGTTAAAATACGTTCAATCACTGAGAAAATATTTCCAAAGAATTTCAATCCCTACCTTACATAATCTCTTTTGCAATAGGTTTTTCCATCCCGGACGAAGCAAGTGCATGTCTCATCCAGGTACTGGCTGCACTCTGCACACTTCAGGCAGGCTGCATGCCACTCCAGGTCCGGGGAAACTCTCAGTATGTACTGGTCATGTATCTGACTTCCACAGCCTACACACATGGCGAATCCGGACTTCTCTGCAGAGAGCACAGCCATTGTAACCATTCTTTCCCATGTCCACAGTTCTTGACACTTAAATCACACTTTTTTGAGAGCCACTGGCCTACATGTCATTTCTTCGTCTTAATTTGTGCAAACCTGTCAGGGAATGCGCTTCAGAATTCACTCTTGCAGGGTGGACAACTTTTAGTCTTATACAGAGCGAAATACTGCCCGTTTCTCACTGTAATACATTCCAATGACTAAGACCTGTTCTGAAATTATGCACAATCGTTTTGAAAGAAATCTAACATAAAATGAACTATAAACAAGAAAAAGTCAGCATTATGCATAACCAAACAACGCCAATTCGAATATATTATATTAGCTTTATGCACATAAATATATGAAATACGATGGTATTTGAATGCGATAACAGAATATGAGGCTACGATTTGTAGGCTAATCTACAATACTGTGAAAGGCGGATGAAAATACGAGCAAAAAAAATGCCACTTACTTTTGGAATGATCCCCCATATCACCCAAGAAAGAAGAGTTGAAAATAATATCCACCATACAGGAAGGATGACGGGATTGCGATAAGATGCAGAAAATAAGTAAGAAGGAGAAGAAGAGGAGGAAGGAGGGAGGGAGGTGAGTAGCCTGTGCCTGGCTGTCTGATAATTTCAGTTCGGACTGTGGGACAGCCCAGGGAAGAGGCGCTGCAGTGTCCCACACGCTCTCTGACGTCACGCGTAAAACTGGACATCCATTCTTCCCACATAACCTATTCCCACTGTCATATCAAGTCTCTCTAGAGATTTTAAAGAATTTAGGAATCAAAAATCTATATTTATTTTGAAACATTAGTTGGATATTAGTTAGTTATATTTCTAAGGTAATTTTGGGGCTTGGATATTTGGCTACGTTTATTGTGAACTTTTTTGGTTGATACATTATTTCCTGAAAATTCATGCTAGTTATTTTAAATCTGTACACTTTTGTTTGGCCTACATTGGAATTGCAATTAGCAGGAGTAAGCAGTAAATTGCATGTTTTTCATGAGACAGAGGAGAATGCACACAGAAAACCCGTCATGACACCAGACACCATGTGAATCAGTCCATCCATCTATACGAGAACAACAAGGACACCTACTGGAGGAACATTAGAAGTACAATTGTACTGCTTCATGCCAGGACAGGAGACCAGCGCAGTGGGCCACTCTAGACTGGTACCTGCTTTTTAGTTATAAATAAAATCAAATTAATCCACAAAGTGTCTGTATTGAATTTGTTCTATTTCATATATCAAATTAATAAAATGTAGGTAGGTTCCTTTCATTGTCTCGCAATTTTGGATTATAGGGCTCCTATTAAATAATTTCGGATAATTCAAAGGTTTATTTATGACCATATTTATTGCCATATTTTACATCAGCCTGTATTTTTCCAATTAAATATAAATGTTTATGTCATGGAATAAATATATGTCTATGGATGGAATGGAACGCATACGTCATGTATTTTATAGCCTACATGCATTCTCAAATTCCTGGTATTTTTCACTTTTAAAGGGCCTTTGAAATAATAATAAAATTATCAGATGAGCCTATTCTCTGAGTTCACTGTTTAAAGTGAAAGAGACGTGGAGAGATCGAGTACATTGTTCTCGCGAGATACGAGAGTGGAGCATTAACTGATGCTTCTCAGCTGTCACTTTGTTTAGATCATGCAAATAGCTAGCTAAAAATGAGCTGATTAGCTAGCCAGCTATGTATACAGCAATAAACAGAAGAAGTTTGGGACAATTGGTAAGTAAAACGCCAGTGTTGACAAATGCATCAATTTCTTCTACCGTTTCAGATTGCCACCAACGTCTAGTTGGCGAGTCTGACTGAGGTCAGTTGAGGACATGTAATGTCGACAACATCCTTTCACTCTAATTTGCAACTGCACTGTTAGCTAGATACATTGTATCTAATTACGGTTAACATGTTTCAGAGTAGAGCATGAAACTAATCCAAATTCTGGCAACATAACTAACTACAGTACAGTGTGTCACCTGACTTGGGTTAAACTAAACTAGCAAGTGATTTTGTTATCTTGGAGGACAAAAAACACAGTTGCCCTGATATGGTTATAGCCTTCCTTTTGGTGTTAGACAACTGTATTAAACATATTTGAAATTGCCTTTATTCCCTGTCTTGCACAGTGTGTTTTATATTGACCTTTGTACACACTACTGTTTACACCGTTAACTTGATAGAGCCAGTCTGATAATGTGCCTTAAGGCTATGCCAGCTGTCTAGTTTATCATTCAAGGCCAAAATAGCAAAATAGTAGTTATTGTCAATCAGAAATGTCTATTCAATGGCCTTAACTAAGTCTTCTTTATAAACCTGAAAAGCAGTTTTAAAATGGAGATTGGTTGTGTTCTCTCCTGCAGCCCTGTCTGGTCCAGAGGTTTCAGAGTACTCTGGTAATAGCAGAGCACAACAACAACCAGCTCACACCCATCACACTGAACGCCATTACTGCTGCCAGCAGGGTGGGAGGAGAGGTCACCTGCCTGGTGGCTGGAACCAACTGTGCCAAGGTAGGACTGTCACTGCGATGCCCCACAGAGGTGGCAAACCCTCCTATCTGGAGAGCTACCAGTGGGTATGCAACTTTTTTAATTTAACCTTTATTTGACCAGGTTGGTCTCATTGAGATTAAACATCTCTTTTGCAAGAGAGACCTGGCCAAATTTTGCTCCAACCCTACCTAATTCAGCTAGGCTAATCATGATTCTGGTGAGTAGAATGGGGTGTTTCAGTAAGGCTGGGGCAAAAGCCTGCACACACCCAGTTCTGCTGTAGGAGGGTTGGCTACTCCTGCCCTAACAGCTGTTCACGGTCACACACATCAATGAAAGTTATGTTTTTAATGTGAAATTTCAAACGTACAGTTGAAGTCGGAAGTTTACATACACTTTGGTTGGAGTCATTAAAACTCGTTTTTCAACCACTCCACAAATTTCTTGTTAACAAACTATAGTTTTGGCAAGTCGGTTAGGACATCTACTTTGTACATGACACAAGTAATTTTTCCAACAATTGTTTACAAACAGATTATTTCACTTATAATTCACTGTATTACAATTCCAGTGGGTCAGACGTTTACATACTCTAAGTTGACTGTGCCTTTAAACAGCTTGGAAAATTCAAGATGAATGATGGCTTTAGAAGTTTCTGATAGGCTAATTGACATAATTTGAGTCAATTGGAGGTGTACCTGTGGATGTATTTCAAGGCCTACCTTCAAACTCAGTGCCTCTTTGCTTGACATCATGGGAAAATCAAAAGAAATCAGCCAAGACCTCAGAAAAAAAAGTGTAGACCTCCACAAGTCTGGTTCATCCTTGGGAGCAATTTCCAAATGCCTGAAGGTACCACGTTCATCTGTACAAACAATAGTGCGCAAGTATAAACACCATGGGACCACGCAGCCGTCAAACCACTCAGGAAGGAGACGCATTCTGTCTCCTAGAGATGAACGTACTTTACATTTAACATTTTAGTCATTTAGCAGACGCTCTTATCCAGAGCGACTTACAGTTAGTGAGTGCATACATTTTTTCATACTGGCCCCCCGTGGGAAACGAACCCACAACCCTGGCGTTGCAAGCGCCATGCTCTACCAACTGAGCTACAGATGAATGTACTTTGGTGTGAAAAGTGCAAATCAATCCCAGACCACCATGAAAGGACCTTGTGAAGATGTTGGAGGAAACAGAAACAAAAGTATCTATATCCACAGTAAAACGAGTCCTATATCGACATAACCTGAATGGCCGCTCAGCAAGGAAGAAGCCACTGCTCCAAAACCGCCATAAAAAAGCCAGACTACGGAAATTACGGACTACTAGGAAAATTATGTGTATATATTGAAGCAACATCAAGACATCAGTCAGGAAGTTAAAGCTTGGTCGCAAATGGGTCTTCCAAATGGACAATGACCCCAAGCATACTTCCAAAATTGTGGCAAAATGGCTTAAGGACAACAAAGTCAAGGTATTGGAGTGGCCATCACAAAGCCCTGACCTCAATCCTATAGAAAATGTGTGGGCAGAACTGAAAAAGCGTGTGCGAGCAAGGAGGCCTACAAACCTGACTCAGTTACACCAGCTCTGTCAGGAGGAATGGGCCAAAATTCACCCAACTTATTGTGGGAAGCTTGTGGAAGGCTACCCGAAAAGTTTGACCCAAGTAAATTTTTTTAAAGGCAATGCTACCAAATACTAATTGAGTGTATGTAAACTTCTGACCCACTTGGAATGTGATGAAAGAAATAAAAGCTGAAATAAATAATTCTCTCTACTATTATTCTGACATTTCACATTCTTAAAATAAAGTGGTGATCCTAACTGGCCTTAGACAGGGAATTCTTACTAGGATTAAATGTCAGGAATTGTGAAAAACTGAGTTTAAATGTATTTGGCTAAGGTGTATGTAAACTTCTGACTTCAACTGTACGTATGTCACCCTTGTGCAGTACAATGTAGCTTTTTCATGATATACAGCTGGCTGATATGATTAACTGTTTATTTCTGTGTTGGATTCCTTCTTTAACAGGTTGCAGACCAGATAAGTAAAGTCCAGGGGGTCAAGAAGATTCTAGTGGCTCAGCATGACTGCTACAAAGGACTGTTACCAGGTGATTTTGGAAGGATGAAAGTCCCTTCATTCTGGGATGGGATATTTTTGTGGATATGCTTAGTCCAAATATAGATGCCTGAGATGTATATTTACAGTTTAGATGATGTACTGTTGGAATGATGGAATGGAATGGTACTTCCCTTTGGTGTAAAAATGTACTCTAAACCCGGGACTCTTTTCTCTATACAGAGGAATTGACTCCTTTTGATTCTTGCTACCCAGAAACAGTTCAACTTCACACACATCTGTGCAGGAGCTTCTGCTTTTGGGAAGGTGAGTTACTGACTGTCACATGTCTGCATTTGCAGCGCATAGCCTTTCCCCCCATATTATTAATAGCCATATAATGATAAAGTCCTTAAGTTTATTTTGTTACGTATCCAGACATGCATGAATTATAGCTCATTTTATCGTCATAGCCACGTCTAGTTTATCTGGTTTAGCGTTTTTAAACATTATGCTTTAATGCTTCTGAAAGTTTTTTTCCTTCCAATTTCACCCAGTAAGTGTAGTACTACCCCTCAATTACTACCCCAGTAATCTGTCATTCTGCAATAGAACTGTCAACTTGCTGATCTAATGGTATTTCTATTGAATTAGGATGCATTAAACAATATCTTATGTATTGTAATCCAACTCATATTGACTGAGGCTGGGTTGTCTGGTCTCGATTTCCCTGAGTAGATGAATGTGTTTCAGATGATGCATCCTAATACTGTCTGGTGTTTGATTTAATTTATTTTACAAAAAACATAATCAGCGATCATTTGTCAAAGATGACTTTGAATTCCATTGTCCATCCTTGGGCTAAACTTCACACATTTTGTATTTGAGTCTCAGTAGCCCAAGCTAGTTTTATCCAACTCACAGAGGGCAGTTTGTATTGTCATGGTACCAAAGCAACATTGACGTCATCTACTAGAAACTGTTTCATTAGGGACAAATTATTTGTAATAGTTTCAAATTCGTCTTTATTGTACCAAACTTTGCCAAGTCCTTAAAACGTTGACAAACATTTCCATTTTAAAACACTCCCCATCACTTCTCTGTGTCCTGAGAGATCCACAGGGTGATATGGTTGAATTAAAGAATATCATCTGAATGCTGTGTTATGCTCTACAGAATCTCCTTCCCAGAGTGTCAGCCAAGCTGGATGTTGCAACTCTGTATGACATCACAGAGGTCAAATCTCAAGACACTTACGTAAGAACAATATATGCTGGTGAGATTCCTGTTGTAATATATTTTATAATTAACAACTATTCCATTGAGGTATAAAATATTCCCAAATATTTTGTAAGCACACTGTAATTATTATGCATTACAACATAGTCGCTTATCACTGCAGGCCTGGTCATAGCACTACCCATAATGCATACGTAAGCAGCAGAATAAATGATTGGATAGGTTTCAGTATTGGTGTACTGCTCTGCTAATGGGCTGGTGTCAGGGGTTAAATGGAGATGATTGTTCTATATTCATTAGTAAAGTGATGAGGCTATAGTAGTTCATGTTGTTGTTGTTTCTGACCTCTTAATGACTACAGAGATCCACCATAGTCATCCCAGCTGTCAGTCTGAAAGCCTAAAAACCTCCCTGAAGAAGAAGATACTCAGATCATATTTTGATTGGGCCCATTATAATCATAAAATATAAATAGGTCTGATTAAAATTATCCACTTAAACTTTGGCAAGAGCCTGACTGTTCCTGGTTGGAAATTCAGTGGGGGGGAGGGGAGGTTTAACATCTTTGCTGCTGCATTTTTGACATAGACAAAGGTCTCACACTTGGATGTTTTGGAGTTCTTATTTGGCCCATTGCCTCTGTTGTCAGACAGTTCAATTAGTAATTTACAATGCATATGCCAGGAACCGCCCTAGCTCCATACAATGCAAGTTCTTACAATGGAAATAATTACAATGCAAGTCTGTTCTTTCATGTTTTTAATTATTACTGTGAACATTTGTCATTGTATTTTATAGAATTGCCTGAATTGCATCACATGTAAAACAGACAATGGCATTTATCAGAGAATAACCAACAATGCAAAAGCTTTATTAAATCACCAAATACTTCTAAATACTTTTTCATACTGAGTCTTTTTTGCTTTAAGGATGTATCTCAATATAAGCCAAGCAAACACATTGTGTGTGGTGTTACTGCATGTGTTGTCTTTGCTACAGGTAATGCACTGTGCCACAGTGAAGTGCAGTGAGAAAGTCAAGGTGTTCACAGTGAGGGGGACTTCCTTTGAACCTGCTGCTGTGGAGGGAGGCAGTGCTGTTACTGAACAGGGTACAGGACTCTCCCATTACACTGTTGACAGCAGCACCACTCAGTAACCTTTCTCTGTCTCTCATTAAAACCGATATTCATATTTTCAATTCTTGATTATGGCTCGCGAGCTGCATATTCAGACGCTAGTGTAAGTAATATTTTGCACATTTAATTTGTCTGCGTTTGAGATATATTCTTAGTTATGTCTGTCCGTTCTGTAACAGTTGCCTCACCCTCTCCTGCAGGGATGTCAGAATGGCTTGAGCAGAGCCTGACCAAGAGCAATCGACCAGAGCTCACTAGTGCCAAAGTGGTGGTGTCCGGAGGTAAGGGCTTAGCTTTACACTGTATGACTGCTTCAGCCAATGTGTCATTCACATTCCCTGGCCTCTCATTCTGTTAGGTCATTGTGACCAAGCACTTGATTTCTTTGTCCCATTAGGACGAGGGCTGAAGAGCGGTGAGAACTTCAAACTGCTGGACGACCTCGCTGAAAAAATGGGTGCTGCAGGTAAAAATAACGATGTGTGTCTACATCAGAGTGAAGGAGAGGGAGAGAGAGAATGTTTTTGAAAGTGAGTGGGTGAAAATATGTTTGAGAGTGTCTGTGTGAAGGACAGTGGAAAGAGTGTGTGAGTGTGCACTTCATGTGGTCAGTTGCCTGTGTGTAACTGCGTGGTATGATCATGTGTATTCATAACCTGCTGTATGTTGTGAATGCAGTGGGGGCTTCCAGAGCTGCTGTGGATGCTGGCTACGTCCCCAATGACATGCAGGTCGGCCAGACTGGCAAGATTGTAGCGCCTGTAAGTTATAAACCACCCCCATTTCTTGTCTCTGTTATTTCACTGTGTCACAGCAGAAACCAACGTACAATATTTCTTAGTAAGCAACCTGACAAGAAAATAATATAATCAAATGTTTAAAATAAATACAAATAACTTTAAGAAATTGTAGATTACATTTAAGTTTTTCTCATGAAATGTTCTGTAAAATTACATTTTAATTTAGGTATTTTGGATAAAAAATGTAATTCTGTTCGGTCTTTTTGAATGACTTAAATGTAACTGTATGTGCACTTTTGCTGACCTTCATTAGCCTACAGTGACATATTCTCTCGATCTTGATGTTCCAAAGATGGCCTATCTGTCTCTTAAATTCAATTGTGTGTACAGTGTGTTAGTTAGGAGATGTGTGTGGATTAGTGCATGTGTGTCTGTGTTCCAAGACATTGCGGCAGTTGTGTATATTTTGGCAAAGCCAACAAGCCACAAGACAGACCCCTCACAGCAAAGGGAATTCGCCTTATTGGAGTTGCCAACAACCGGATGTTCCGGTTTTCAGGGATACAGCTATTTTCAACCAAGCTTCCTTTTCCGCTGAAAACCGGATGTGGGAACTGCACTCAGGCGTTTCTCTTATGCCTGCTACGTTAGGTTAAAGGGAATTAACATCCTAACACAGGCAAACACACACACACTCTTGTGTTATCCAACACAATACAAACAAAATCACAGAATGTTTGACAATGCTCTGTATTGAACATTATTTAATTATTTGAAATTGAAAAAGCTTAAAAAGGCTAAATAGGTCATTTGGCTTGCGACAGGGATATCCCAGCTGTCATCAGCCACACATTACAGCCGCTTCAGACTGCCCTAATGTAGTTAATGGCTGATTTTTAAGGTCCTAAATGATTTACCAGACCCATTAGGGAGGAGACTTAAGTGCTGTGAGTCCACCCTGCCCCCCAAAATGGACAACTCTGCCAATATTGTTGTACACAATGTAAACAGGGAACAATCACAGAAGGCTATGATATGCAACATCCTAAACCAGCAACCATTCATTGCTTGTGTATTGCAATGAATAGACATTCAAAACAAATCAGGTGAAATGAAATATAATTTATGTAACCAAATGTAATAATATACTATTTACAGTAATATTATATGTATATACTTACAGTTATAGGTATATTTCCTAAACAGTAAGCAGTGTATGGTACATCTACTAAGTCTACCTCCTAAGTCTATCTCCATAATTCCATGACAGGCCTTCAGAAACGCTCCGACCCCCCCACAAAAATCACATCTTTCCTCATGGTAGTCTGAGAGGGGAACCATGTTGTGGATTTATAATTCATAATTCTTCAGAGTCAATGCAGTATTCACATGATAATTAGGATACATTTTTTATTGCTGCCTGCGGGCATTTCTGCATTGTTGGCTTCAGGAACCTGGGCCATTATGACCTTATTAGTGTAACTGTCAGTCGCCTGTTTTAGTTTACAAATGCATTGTCGTGTATTTTATTATGAACTGCACTCATCAAGATAAAACTTATTAGTGGCTTTTACAAGACGCCGTGTCACTTAAATGAGGAGAGCAACACCTCCGCTTGACTCAATGTGCCTGTCAAAACAACGCTGGCAAAATTAGTAACGTTTTCAATTACTGTATTCTTGTTAATTACTTATAAAGACTAAGTATTTTACTTGAAATGGGATACAATAACAATTTGATTAAAATGATGAAATACAATTGTTTCAGGTTTTTTTATAAGGAACAAATCATTAAAGATGTATAATATAGGTTATTGTTAAGTTGAGAGCACTGTGTAGGCATTGGTGGTTTCAGAATGATACAGCTTGATATAGTATTTTACTCATGTTTTTAGAGGACTAAAATAATGAATACTTACTGTTCTTTTTGATTTCAAGTGACAACTTTAATCATTTTCTCATTAACTTCACAGGCTTTGTCAGATGTAGGCCTACGGTACAAATATAACAAAATAAAGACTTTATAATGAGACCACTTTTACCCTATTTTCATATGCTTTTCAGAGCATTGAATATCATAGATTCTTCTGTCAAACCAGTTACATGACTCAGTCCTGAGATACCACCAAGCCAATCTACAGTATTTAGTATCGTTAGCCAACCTGTTGTCTTTTATTGTCTGTTTGCACACACCAGCATCCTGTGATCACCTGGTTGATTAACTCAACTGTGTCACAATCTGGCTGCGTGTACAGGAGCTTGTGTTCTCACACCTGAGGGGAGCTGTGCTGTGTGAACCACTGGGTTTCAGCATCACTTTGGGGTATTTTATTAACAGGCCAGCGGGTGCACCGAGTCCCTACCCTGCTGCCGCGGCTCACAGCAGCTGTGGGGAGACCAAACACCAGGCAGGCAGGCAGGCAGGCGGACAGACAGGCAGGCGGACAGACAGGCAGACAGGAAGAAGAGGAGGGAAAAACTGGCCAAGCTTGGCAAATCAACTGGCCAAGCTTGGACAAATCGTCTGGCCATTCGCCTCTCTCCCTCCTCTCCCTACATATACTTTAAAAACATCCAGAGCTAAATGACCCCCCAAGTATAGCAGTTTGTAGTGGAAAACTTTCAAAAAGCTGTTTATACCCAGCTGGGGACCTACTGGAGGCTAACGGGGAGAAGCTTTTCTATTTTTGATTTTCTCTCTCTTCCATTCTGGAGTGGAAAAAGGCCTCTGGTTTGACACTGCCTTTCATACTGTATTATCCGGCCTGGCTTTTAACTCTGGGAGAACTGTGTTCACAAATTGATGCTCTGTTCCTCTGGGGCTGCAGCTGAAACATTAAATCGTACTGAAATATTAATATGTGAGTGCATTTAGCTGAAAGCAATTGATGTGCTGCTCCCTGGAGAATGGATGGTAATGTTTCAGCCAGGGGCCCAGGCCCCCACACTCTGGCTGGCAGACACCCTAAAGGACCACACTCTGGTCAGGACCATTGAGATGTATGGTCAGGACCATTGAGATGTATGGTCAGGAATTGGCTGCCTACCGGGTCAGAGTATGGTGGAAAGTGTTCCGGGGGATTGGGGCTCAGTTTGTGGTTCTGGTGGTGGTCACTAATGGTCACAGCAACTTGGTTCACCAGACTACTGGTTAGGAAAGCCTATCTCGTAAGGCTGTGGTCATAGGGATTCTCTAATGGCCATGCTGTGTATGTATGTTTGCAAACACGCATCATCTTCTCATTTTAAGTTGTTGAAAAGTAATGGTTAAATCAATAATCTTACATATCATGTTGTGGCCAAACCTTTTAATTCATTTGGTTGAGACTGCTTTTTTATTTTTCAGAATGAATTTTTTGGTTCTCCCTACAATAAACACTGTATCAGTTTATTGAAACTTGAAAGTTGATTTTATTTTATTTAAAAAAATATTAATACGTATTTGGTTTGTCTATGCAGTATTATTGCAATAATATATATATTTTTTATATTACATTATCATATACTGACTGGCCACTTAATGTTGTTTTTTTATTTCCAGGAACTCTACATCGCAGTGGGCATCTCTGGAGCTATTCAGCACCTGGCTGGGATGAAGGACAGCAAGGTACAGCACACCACATCACAGACATCAAACAAAGCAGTCTAAATAAGCTAGTGGTATTATTGTGGTATAGGTGTGTTATTACTTGTGGTAATACTTCTCATTTAAACAAATGTAAATAGATTTGTTCTACCGATTTCAAAAAAATGATTTGAGGATGCAAGATATTCTGAATATATATATATATATATATATATATATATATATATAATTTTCTTCAGATTTCTAGGACTCCAAACCAAATATAGGATATGTTTTATACAGGAAGATGTTTTTGAAAATGTAACAATGTTTCTCTGAAGAGTCTGTTTGTTGTGCTTTTTACAACATTTTTTTTAGCTGATTCTTGCTGTCACAAGTCATGCATAAGTACATATAGTTATGGGGCTTGTGCGTCTGATTGCTAAATCAACTTTGGTGTCAATTATTTTATTCAATTCTTCTGAGCTCTCTGTGATGTAGCGCCTTGTCACCAGGAGAATGATATGTCTCACCCTCGTTTATGACGATTTACTGTAGCTAAGCTTATTCTGCCGCCTTTTATGGAATATGCATTAGTGATGGATTAACAAGTAAATATATACATACAGTAAAACAATGGGGATACTGATTAAATTTGATATTGATTTAAAAGAAAGTTTGTATTAATGTAAAAACATATTAATTCATTTGAAATTATTTACAACTCTTTGAAACTGAATAAAGTCTTTTTTTCTTCTTCTTCAAAGTAGTCAATCATTTGATATCTTCAAGTTATCTGAAAGTATAAAGATCACACATTCCAATAATGGGTCCAGTTAACACTGTTACTGTGTAGGCTGATTTGAAAAAGCAAAAATGGGTGTCATACAACTGCACCAATTTACCTAAATAATACTATTACAACAATTTGCTCCTTGAGAATCTGTCTATCTATGAGGAGGATTTGAATGAACTTGGTCAAAGTGCTTTTTCTTCTTTGTATTCCTGTTTTTTCGCTGTAGTTGACCCACTTTTACAACAAGTGGAGGGCAGAGTACCTCTGTCCCTGGAAGATAACTGTTTATGTAAATGCAAAATGTAAAAAAAAATATTCCGTGGCCATGACAACAGTCTCCTGAGTGGATTTCTTCCACCAATGCGAGCTATCTGCTCCGGGATCCCGTGCACTTAAGAAGTATGTTTTAAAAGGGAACCTGAAGAAGCTTTTTAAAGAATGATGTATAATTTATTTGTGTTTTCTCTCTCTTGCTTCAGAGCTTCTTAAGAGGAGTGTGTCTTGTGTGGGATGTGTTCTGAATATGTCAGACCACACTATTATGTACTATTATGCAGCCATAGTCCCATATCTATTTGTTTTGTATCAGATTTACTCTGCTTCTACGTATATCCAGCCGCTTGATGTCACTGAGCTGTTTTCAAAATCAGTTTCATCCACTTTAAAAAACACACATTCATAAGTGACATCACTTAAGTGCAGCTAATTTGGGTTTCTATGCTTTCTGCTTTAACAAGCTATGCAATATGTCATGAAAGCATCCTGTGTGTGTATATAACATGAGAGAGTAGTAAGTGATGGTAATACAACTTTATTGTATTTTATTCTTCTTTTTTTAAACTTCATTTCGATTCTCATCATAGTGACTGATATTGTCCTAATGCCGGATGCTGACTCACTGCTTTAGGATGTGGATCAACGGTTTACAAATCATTTATGATTTAAGTGTTTGTGGTTTAGCCTCCATTAAAATTATGAGGCAATCCATATCACTTTGCATTTTCATTCAGAGGACAGGTTAGTACATGTACTGAGACTAACTCTGTGACACATGTTTTTGTGTTGTATTTCTAGATAATCGTTGCCATCAACAAAGATCCAGAGGCACCTATTTTCCAGGTAGCTGACTACAGTTTGGTGGAGGATCTCTTCAAGGTAAGTTTGTCAATGATGACACAATTAGATATTGAAATCGTAATATTAAATGTATGAAATTAATCCCTATATGGAGGTAGATATTTAGTCATGCCATCATTACAGATCCCTGTCACACCCTGTCCATCTCTCCTTTAAGAGTCATTATTCTAGTACCCTCAGGAGGATTTATAATAGGTTTATTAATACTATGTGTATTTATGTTATATCATATTAATAATATGGATCTTATTCTGCCAAAAGTGGCTACCTGGTTTCCTGATAAAAGCAAACATAGGTTTTGACTGAATGAGGTCCTTAATTAGCTATAAATTAGTATACCATAGCGAAACACATTTGAAAAGCGCAAGAAAGAGGTCATATCTCAGATTTCCTCATCAGTTAATGATGCTCTAATAAGACAAATCAACGACTGATCGTGTAATGTTAATGCATTTAAACTAAGTGACTCCCTCTGAGCCGTTATTAAAAGATTTCAATTATTAAGGGAAGTGTCTAATGGTCACTGTTAATTCACCCTTCTTCTTCTCTGATTGTGACATTGAGGCACTTCCTGGTTCACTAGAGACCTCCCGCAAGCCATTTCCTGTCTGATCAGAGGCCCAGGCTGTCAGAGTTAGACGCTCATTAAAAGTATTCCTGTGTAATAATGTCGTTGTAAAAGCATTTTGTGACAACTGCTTATGTACAAGGGGCTCTATAAATTAGTTTGATTGATAACATGAATTGAATAGTTAGGTTTATCATTATAAATCATTAAAGGGCACCTTTCATTTGCCGTTCAGTCTTAAACAAGGGGGATTCATTCGTTTGGTGGTGCAGGCATCTATTTGACCTGTTTTAAAGGCAATGACATTGTCTGGTTTTCCCTCTCATACATTTGAATATTATTCAGTCGTTTCATCTCAGAAAACAAAACTTCTACAGAGACCATGTGCTTTACTCAGTTGTGCCTTATTCAGTTACAATCCATTAACTAGGTTTCTGGGATAAGCCTAAAATAACACTCTGAGTGAAAAATGTAGTTGAGTTCTTTCTCTCTCCGACTGTAAACATTTCTCTGAGTGCCTGTATCCAGACATGGTAAATCAGTTATTGGGATTGATAGAATAGGAACCATTTTGAACTGTATATTATTCCACCTAATGAAAAAGATGTATTGAATTATTGAACTCCTGAATTTATCAGTGGATAGTTCATGAGGGGATCTCCTATTAAGAGTAACTTCCACTCCTCAACCTTAACAGGAACTAATAACACCTGATAGTTAAACTAAGGGGACTGCCTGGTGTTGGCTTTCACATTGATTCTGTGTTGCTCTTCACCTATTCACTCCTAATTGACATGCTCAGGTAACTTTGTCAGGGCTCAACACCACAGGGTTCCAGGCAGCACTTCTCCCCTCTAGTTTAGGCATAAAGACAGCGGTGGCTGATCCAGATACAGTGCCCAAGCTTTGGCACACACTTCAAGAGGGACCCTTTGTGAGAAGTGAAAGCCTAGTGGCTTTTTCCATTTTGTTTGGCTGTAGCTCATCATTTATTAACCGGTGCCGTGGCGTGTGATCGGCCGGTGTAGGTGACTAGGTGTTTTAGTTAGTAATATTCTGCTGAAGTGATGGGTAGGAAGAAATAATAAAACAGGCTGGTCCAGAACTGTGACCCTGTGACAATGGTTATCATCTTACCTGTATTTACGTACGCTCTTATTTCAGATAACAGTCAAAGATAATGGATGTGTCTTTTGTCGTTGTTGCCAATTAAACTGTCAGGGGTATGCGTTTTCAAGGTGAGACCTGTTTGTAAAACCAAAACTGAAACACTATTTGTGTTGTACTTGTAGGCTGTTCCTGAGATGACTGCAGCGTTGAAGAAGTGATCCAACCAAGATCCTATAATACTCAGAAATCTGAAGATGAAACGATAACCTCCTTATAAGCTGCCAGTTTTAACTACCCAAATGAAAATCCTGCCTTAAACTGCATTTCATGCTTCTGGTGCATTTTGAAATAGGTGCTTAACATTTCAAGATGTAATACATCTTTGATTGTGATATATTTTTAATTAATAATAAAGTTAGTAAATATGCTACAATGTCTCACAACTTGTTCCTTTAAATTAGTTGTTTTGATTTGAAATATGATCAATTGGATGTTTGGGCTTTCCTTTTTGGAAAGCTACAGTATCAGGATAATACAGTGTTACATATCACGGTGGATAATGGCACAGTTCTGAAGGAAAAATAAAATCAAAGTGTGTTTCAAAATGTTGTATAGTTTCTGAATGAACACTGAAGTGCTCAATTACACTATATCAAAGGATATCTCATTAAGAATGCAAATACATTTGTTAAGACACATGCACACATCAAACGTTTCTTCCGCTAACCCTAAGTAGAGGAAAAGCATTGTTGCCAAAGGAGCGTGGTGTAATCGTTCAGCTGAACCCAGAATTACTTTTCTTCACATGATCCAGGTCCTCAAATAACATTAGCACTAATCACCACTTTACTATCACCATGTCTTAATGAAATACTTCTGAAACACTTAGGCTTGCTTGATTGAAGCCTTGATTGTTATTAATTAACAATTAAACATGTAATTTACTTGTAAACACTTGACAAGCAACAAAATGGGTAGTTTATCTCCTAAATTAATTATTTGATCGGAAGTTAATTAGGGGGTTTAATCCTCATTACCAGACATTTATAATGACAAACCTCATTAACCAATTATGTTTTTGTTGTGACAGGTCTCTCCAATGTTGATAGATATAGATAGATATTAATAATTTATTTCGTTTCAGAGCAATATGCAAATAAGTTGATAGTTGCTAATGCAAAAGTGTTGTAGGGTGATGTCGTAGTCTGGAGCCAATGGGAAGGCTCGGTCATATCTGATAAAGAGCCCACATGTAATACAAACTCATTCATATTAATGTATAGGATTCTATCCCGAATTATGCAAATTAGAATACATCGCAGTACTTTTTGGTTTGGAATGTATTCTACTGTGTAATTCCATGTATTGCTTTGTAAAGGGCATCCACATATGTATTTTCCCTTGGTAAATGCAACTAACAATGAATATGAGAGTGAGTATGAAAAATCTCTGCTACCAATGTACAAAATATTATAATTTAAAGTGGCATGGCTCATGTACAACTGAAAGCAATAAAAAGGGACCACAATATTGTTAATGTTACAAAGGTTTATTTGAATGACACCACCTGCAATTTGGCAATGAGTTCCCCTCATATTAAGTTTACAAAACATCTGTAAACATTAAAGTGAACAGGATTGGCTTGCCATGTTCAGGCTGCAGATCTTTTAAAGAAAGGTTCATGCTACAAGCACTCCAATCTAAAACATCAATCCTCCATCGCTGCTCATAATCAGATTCCCATACTTCTCCCATACCTCTTGGGATCATTTTGGGCCATTCAGTACCGATTCCTCATACTTTAATTCCTCCATTTCTTCCCTTACCCTTGCCTGTTCTTGTGTCTGGCTAAAAAATGTCAGGCTTCATATGGTTGATGTTCCTCTATTTCAATACAAACATCTTTATCTCTGTTATAGAAAGACAAAAGTATAGTAATAAGGGGTCTGTTTGTTTGGCACAGACAGTTTGTCCAGTGAAAGCACCCTGTGGGTTGGTTGTTAGAGCAGAGAGAACTGCACGGTTACAGTAGCTAATACAAATAAAAAGAAAGCAAAAACACCACCCACTCCCACCCAACTTAGAGAAATCACATGTAAAATCTGTATTGTAGTTAACATAGGAACACTTGAATAGGCTTGTTCTGTAAAGGCTTGAATATGGCCCATTGCTGGTTTTATTTCAAACTGTTTTGTTTCACATTTAGGGCCACATTTAAAGTGGGATTTCCTGATGATGGTTCTTTCCAGGCCCACACTTGTCTCCTCTGTCCTCACTGGGTAATTGTTGTGCAAATGTGGCATTATTCAAAGTCACCCCAAGATTGAGGATGAGGAGGGCTGTGTCTGTCTGTCTCTGTCTGTCTGTCTGGAGCCCCACAGAGAAGGGAAGACAAACATGAGAGCGGTAGCCTGGTCCCAGATCTGTTTGTGCTGTCTTGCTAACTTCAGATGGTCTTTGTAACGCCAGGTTTGATCTTGGACCAGGCTCTGACTTTGTTTGAAGCATGAGGATTTGGAGAAGCCCGGTCAGTCAGTTCTGTCTTGAGCTGTATGCTCTGTCCTCTGGGATGAACTATTGCCCTTTTCACACTGTTGTGCCCACCCGAAACAAACAGTGCTGGCTCTGACATATTCTTTTCACATGTCCTTTCCAGCACGGTTCAAACAACTATGGTGGATGCATAACCAGGCCAGCACAATGCAGCTCGGTTCGGCTTGGCTCAGCTCAGTAGTGTGAATCAACCCTATGTATCAGGCAGACGGCCCAGTGGACCATCAGCAGGACCCAGTAGCCTATACTTCTCCTCCAAAGAGGACTCAGGCGCGCCGCCCTGCAGGTGGACGAGAGGTTTAGTCTGTAGGAGCACAGTGGCTGCGGCTTGGCCCTGGCTCTGGTACTGGCTATCCTCCTGATTCCTCCGGTTGTAGATGTTGATCCTGTGCTCCAGCTCTGGGCTGGCCTTGGCTGAGCCGGCAGGGCTGGGAAGCTTCAGGTTAACTGGGTCCACCAGGCCTTTCTGGGCCAGACAGGAGTCCTCAGACAGGGAGGAGAGCAGCTCCTGGACTACCACGCTGGGGTCCCGTGGGAGGGGAGGCTGGGCTGAGGTCAGACCCAGGCCCATAGGGCTGCAGTATGGCGGGGGGAAGCAGCGCTGGCCCTGGGTGTTGTAGTGCTCGGTGTTAAAGTCCCTGTCCGGTGTCTGCTTCTGGGACTTATAGTCCAGATAGGGCCCACGGGCCTTGGTATGGGAATTGTAGTTCCTAGCCTGGGTGTGGTAGTCCCTAGCCATGGTGCTGCTGCTGCAGTCCGTAGTAGACGAGCCCAGGGTGTGGCTGCTCAGGCTATGGGGGCGGGCCGTCAGACTGCCGCTGGACCGTGATATGCTGGTGGAGGTGTCACTCACATTCACGGAGCTGCCCATTCGCTCCACGCCCAGCAGAGGGTTGTTGTGAGCGGGGTAATGGGTCTTAGGGAGGTGGACGTCGATGGCTGCTGTGGTGATGACACGAGGACCCCCCATGTCTGAAATGACACATCATCCAGGACATCAGACTGGGGAAGATAGGTATACAGCAGAGGTGCCTCATATACATTACCAGCTACACTTTACCCAAGATCCACTAAGTCACTCACCACTACTTGGTTCACTGTAGTACTGGCTGATATAGTTGTTCATGTCGTCATGATGGACAACAGGATCTGGATAACAGATAAAGAAACATGATGAGGTTAAAGACCCAATCTGTATGATTTCTTTGTACATAAAATATACAGTATGTTCAATGCACTGTAAACACAATGCAAAGCAATCCCTAGATTTGGGAACAGTACATTTCACTTTTAGGTGGTGGGACATCTGACATCTTATCTATCTATCCAAGTCTACAGGTGCTTTACCGACGTAACCATGGTTTCCAAATCACACCAAGATGGTGTTGTGAGGTTCAAGTGCAGTAGTGAATGTGAGATCAACCAGACTTTGATATAGAGTTCTCTTTGTGTCCTCAGCCAGCCAGCTAGGGCCTCAGTGGTGAATGGTTCTGCCCTGATCTGCTCTTCTGTGTTCGCTTGATTGGGCCTGAGCTCTGTGTTTGTCCGCTGAGTGGTGCCCAAAGTACCCTGAGTGCCTGGGCCGCTCCCCCAGGACCACAGCAGACTCTGACGGGTAATTTCATTTATTTTTCAGCCTAAAATATTAATCCGAGGGAGGGAGGGCCACCCCTGGAGAGGAAGCATTGCACTCACTAAAACATGACCAAGACAATCACTCTGTGATTAATAACACATGAGGATGAGGTCTCAGAGAGAAAGAAAGAAAGAAAGAAAGAAAGAAAGAAAGAAAGGATGGACAACATGAAAGGCCCCCACTCACTCTCTTTCACTCTCTGTCTCTCCCCCTCCCTCTCTCTCTCTCTCTCTCTGTCTTTCCCTCTCTCTCTGTCTTTCCCTCTCTCTCCGTGTTTCTCTCTCTCTCTCTCTCTCTCTCTCTCTCTCTCTCTCTCTCTCTCTCTCTCTCTCTCTCTCTCTCTCTCTCTCTCTCTCTCTAATAGTAAGGCTACCATCCATCTATGAATAATAATAATAATAATAATAATAATAATATGCCATTTAGCAGACGCTTTTATCCAAAGCGACTTACAGTCATGCGTGCATAAATTTTTTGTGTATGGGTGGTCCCGGGGATCGAACCCACTACCTTGGCGTTACAAGCGCCATGCTCTACCAGCTGAGCTACAGAGGACCACAAGTAGTGGGGCTGACATAATTTAGGTCATTTAGTTTTGTTTAAATCAATAAGCATGTGCAATACTTTATGTGATGATCTGTAGATAGCAGAGCCATAGTCACACAGCTCTGCTACCTTTAAAGAATAAGTTTTATTTTTTACAACCAAATCTATTTTTGTTGTACAGTAAATGGCATGTTATAGAAGGGTCCAAACACCTTTATTTAATTTCACGTTTTTGAGAAACTTACCCCAGACAGCCAATCACTTCCTCATCCTCGTTGTGTAGTATAGGGGCCCCGAAAAACCTTGAACAAAGGCTCCAAAAACAAATACGTCCTTTTTGCTCTCAGTATAGTGATGCAGGTCTTTAGATGTTGTACACATGAAATTGTTGTATCACGAACTTTATCCGCAACGTTACATTCCCTTTTGCGCGACTCAAGCTGTTTCCCCTAACCAGCTGTTCTATTCTCTGTGTAGCCTGCTGCTACAGGTAACTGCCAAAATAAAGGAAACGCCAACATAGTGTCTTAATAGGGCGCTGGGCCACTACGAGCCGCCAGAGAAGCTTCAATGCACCTTGGCATAGATTCTACAAGTGTCTGGAACTTCCTGTGTGGAAGCACCCCATGCTTTCAGTATACTTTGTATCCCTCATTTACTCAAGTATTTCTTTTATTTTGGCAGTTACCTGTAGAATGGACGGAGAGGTATCGCTCGAGTCACAACAAAATGGAATATAACGTTGCAGATAAAGTTCAGAATGACACAATTTAATGTGTACAACATCTAAAGACCTGCATCACTACTCTGAGAGCTTTGCCGTTTTTAAAAGGACATATTTGTTTTTGGAGCCTTTGTTCATACTTTTTGGGGTCCCCATACTACACAACGAGGATGAGGAAGTGATTTGCTGTCTGGGGTAAGTTTCTCATAAACACGTGAAATCACAAAAAAGGTGTTTGAACCCTTCTATAACATTCCATTTACATCAAAAATAGAGATTTGGTTGTAAAAAATAAAACGTATCCTTTAAGTGAGGTATTCACATTGGATTTTGGTCCTGCCATTGAAATATAACTCGATTTTAAGAAATGTATTTTTCTTTGCCCTCTTCCCCCAGCAGTACAACAAATATGTGAACTTCCAAGAAGTTGATCTGAAAGAAATTCAAGTACTGTGCTATTCACCCACAACTCTTTGTGGTCAATTTTGTATGTTCCTCAAAATCTACAGCTGCTCTCTTGAGAAGTGACAAAACCACAAATCCCTCGTGACCAATAGACAAAATGATGCTAACCTTTTCTACCTCCTTTTGAAACGAGCTTAGTTTTCAACAAGGAAATAGACTTAGCAGTAGAGTGCCTCAATAAGAATGAATGACACTTTGATGGCATCCCTCGGGCGAGAGAAGGAGAGAGAGAGAGGGGGGAGAGAGAGAGAGAGGTGAGGAGTCCTAACCCAGTCCACGGTCTGCCCTTGCAGGCTTGCCTGAAGCCTAAGTGCTCCTCCTGTCCCAATGGCTCGTCCATGTTCTGGAGAAAAAAAACACGCTTGTTCCTAAGAGCCAGATTTCCCACAATCCCCTGGGGGGGGGTGTGGCATCTCCTGGTGCCCTATTGTGGTTTCCAGGTGAAGAGGAACAGATGTTCACAGTGGCCCACTCTCTCCTCAGACCTCAGAACAAGGCCCAATGCACAGAGCACTCTGTACCTGAAACAGCCTGGCTGAGGTGGGGTGTGTGTGTGGTTGCGTGTGTGTGTGTGTGTGTGTGTGTGTGTGTGTGTGTGTGTGTGTGTGTGTGTGTGTGTGTGTGTGTGTGTGTGTGTGCGTGCATGTGTGGGTGCGTGCATGTGTGTTTGTGTGAGTGCATGTGCATGCCTGCATGTGTGTGTGCGCCTGCGTGCATGCTTGCTTGCTTGTGAGTGTGTCTGTGTGTGTGTGTGTCTGTGTGTGACGTGCCGTTAGGAGAACATGCTTGTTGTCCCCAGGTTTCAGCACATCCTAAAAGCTTTTCTGCCCTTTTATTGATACTGCACTGCCTTCGGTCAGAGGTGTTGTGTGTGTGTTGTGTGTTGTGTGTGTGTGTGCGTGCCTTGCCTGCGGTCAGAGGGGTGTTGTGAGCTAACGTCAGTGTTTTAAGAGGCTAGGGCCTGGAGACTAGCTCAGGGCTACTGCTGCTAGATTAGCTTGACATTGCTCCGGCACCCCATTCACCTGATGTTACATCGGTTGGGACTTTTTGTTCCACATAATTATGTACATACTTTATGTACAAACCTCTCTCCTGGTTGTGTCAGGATGCCTTTTCAACCAAACAGACCAATGTAGAACTTAGTCAAGTTCATTCTGTTTTTGGTCTGTGGTGAAGTAATTCATAATTAGGATTTACAGATTTTGTCCGTTCCTTTTCTAGTCTGCCTCTTGGAACAGCAGTATTCATCAGACTCATTATCATTATTGGTCCAGAATATAGCAATACCCAAGAAGAATATCAAATAGCTATTTTAGCTCATGGTCTGAGGATTATGGTATGGAGTATTACATATACCTTTATAGTTAGGGACAGAATTTGGGACAAACTCTGGGCCCTAGTTTCCCTGGATGTGACATACACTACATGACCAAAAGTATGTGGACACCTGCTCGTCGAACATCTCATTCCAAAATCATGGGCATTAATATGGAGTTGGTCCCCCTTTTGCTGCTAAAACAGCCTCCACTCTTCTGGGAAGGCTTTCCACTGCGGGGACTTGCTTCCATTCAGCCACAAGAGTGTTAGTGAGGTCGGGCACTGATTTTGGGCGATTAGGGCTGGCTCGCAGTCGGCGTTCCAATTCATCCCAAAGGTGTTCGATGGGGTTGAGGTCAGGGCTCTGTGCAGGCCAGTCAAGTTCTTCTACACCAATCTCGACAAACCATTTCTGTATGGAACTCGCTTTATACACGGGGGCATTGTCATGCTGAAATAGGAAAGGGCCTTCCCCAAACTGTTGCCATAAAGTTGGAAGCAGAGAATTGTCTAGAATGTCATTGTATTCTATAGCGTTAAGATTTCCCTTCACTGGAACTAAGGGGCCTAGCCCGAACCATGAAAAACAGCCCCAGACCATTACTCCTCCTCCACCAAACTTTACAGTTGGCTCTATGCTTTCGGACAGGAGCGTTCTCCTGGCATCCGCCAAACCCAGATTCGTCCGTTGGACTGCCAGATGGTGAAGCATGATTCATCACTCCAGAGAATGTGTTTCCACTGCTCCAGAGTCCAATGGTGGCGAGCTTTACACTATTCCAGCCAACGCTTGGCATTGCGTATGGGTGCGGCTGCTCGGCCATGGAAACCCATTTCATGAAGCTCCCGAGTGAGTGTTGCAACCAAGGACAGACGATTTTTACGCGCTACGCGCCTCAGCACTCAGCGGTCCCACTCTGTGAGCTTGTGTGGCCTACCACTTCGCAGCTGAGCCGTTGTTGCTCCTAGACGTTTCCACTTCACAATAACATCACTTACAGTTGAACGGGGCAGCTCTAGCAAAGCAGAAATTTGACGATCTGACTTGTTGGAAAGGTGGCATCCTATCACGTTACCACGTTGAAAGTCACTGAGCTCTTCAGTAAGGCCATTCTACTGCCAGTGTTTGTCTATGGAGATTGCATGGTAGTGTGCTCGTTTTTTTATACACCTGACAGCAACTGGTGTGGCTGAAATAGCCGAATCCACTAATTTGAAGGGGTGTCCACATACTGCTGTATATATAGTGTTGATTATAGGTACAGTATAGGTGACTGTACCTCCTGGGGTCTCCCTGAGGTCTCCATGTCCCTCGTCGTCAGACTCCCCGGGGCCCCGGCCCTCCACCACCTGGTAGCTGCTCCTCTGTTTGCCCCACACATGGTGGATCTGCATAGCAGCCTCCTGCTCTGCAGCCAGGTCCAAGTCCTGCTGGGCCAGGTGGGCCCGGAGCTGTCTGATCTCAAACTGAGAGGGCAGGGGAGAAGGGGGAGGGAGGGAGGGGGGAGAGAGAGGGGGAGAAAGGGGGGGAGAGAGAGACAGAGAGAGAGAGAGTTGGTCTGGAGAAAGGCACACACACATGTATTCTTCTAGCTGAAATCTTGGTTTATTGATGTAACAATATTACAGTGTTGACTAACCTAACCTTTTAGTCCCAGATAGGCCCTTTCAGCATGATCCCAGGCATTCTGCAGGCTAAGTGGTTATATTACTAGCTATAGGATCAATGCTTTCACTGGGGTTTCCTCTGGCCTGATGGCTCATATTGACAAACAGCCAGTCAGATTACACATGAACTGTTTGTTTCCAGCATTACACTGAGTATCCCATCATTTCTGGACTGTTTTGTACAACAACATGTTTCCATTGATGTACAGTTATGGCTTCTCCCTGTATTGATCTTGGGGCCTTGAGCCTTTGAATGAAATGTAGTCCTTTAGTTCAACTGACTAGAGGAGTGCAGTCATTAATCAATAAATCAAATGTATTTATAAATCCCTTTTTAAATCAGCAGTAGAAGCACAGTAGCTAGGAAAAACTCCCTAGAAAGGCAGGAACCTAGGAAGAAACCTAGAGAGGAACCAGGCTCTGAGGGGTGGCCAGTCCTCTTCTGGCTGTGCCGGGTGGAGATTATAAGAGTACATGGCCATTAAGGCCAGATTGTTCTTCAAGATGTTCAAACGTTCATAGGTGACCAGTGACAGTGATAAAAAATAATAACATGGAAAATGTTTGTTGTTTTCATCTATATGGGAAACATCTTTCCAAATGTATTTTACTGTATTATGTTGCGTGCTTATGAGTATTGTGGGTTCATAATATCAGAAAATCAACTTCTTGAGCCTGTTTTTTACTGATTTGAAAATCATTGAATATTGTAACAACAATTTGAAGGAAACACTACATCATCTCTGATGTCTGTTGAAAATGCATAGGCAACACATTGAACTCTTCTGTGAAGTGTTACTGCCCCCCGCTGGTAGCAATTGTAATTGCAGCCTCTGGAAATCTGAAATAGCCTCAACCACATCCCTTTTTATTTTTTTAAATTTCACCTTTATTTAACCAGGTAAGCCAGTTGAGAACAGGTTCTCATTTACAACTGCGACCTGGCCAAGATAAAGCAAAGCAGTGCAATAAAAACAACACAGAGTTACATATGGGGTAAAAAAACATAAAGTCAAAAATACAACAGAAAATATATATACAGTGTGTGCAAATGTAGCAAGTTATAGAGGTAAGGCAATAAATAGGCTATAGTGCAAAAATAATTACAATAGTATTAACACTGGAATGCTAGATGTGCAAGAGATTATGTGCAAATAGAGATACTGGGGTGCAAAAGAGCAAAATAAATAACAATATAGGGATGAGGTAGTTGGGTGGGCTAATTTCAGATGGGCTGTGTACAGGTGCAGTGATCAGTAAGGTGCTCTGACAACTGATGCTTAAAGTTAGTGAGGGAGATAAGAGTCTCCAGCTTCAGAGATTTTTGCAATTCGTTCCAGTCATTGACAGCAGAGAACTGGAAGGAATGGCGGCCAAAGGAGGTGTTGGCTTTGGGAATGACCAGTGAGATATACCTGCTGGAGCGCAGACTACGGGTGGGTACTGCTATGGTGACCAATGAGCTAAGATAAGGCGGGGATTTGCCTAGCAGTGATTTATAGATGGCCTGGAGCCAGTGGGTTTGACGACGAACATGTAGTGAGGACCAGCCAACAAGAGCGTACAGGTCACAGTGGTGGGTAGTGTATGGGGCTTTGGAGACAAAACGGATGGCACTGTGATAGACTACATCCAATTTGCTGAGTAGAGTGTTGGAGGCTATTTTGTAAATGACATCGCCGAAGTCAAGGATCGGTAGGATAGTCAGTTTTACGAGGGCGTGTTTGGCAGCATGAGTGAAGGAGGCTTTGTTGCGAAATAGGAAGCCGATTCTAGATTTAACTTTGGATTGGAGATTCTTTATGTGAGTCTGGAAGGAGAGTTTACAGTCTAACCAGACACCTAGGTATATGTAGTTGTCCACATACTCTAGGTCAGACCCGTCGAGAGTGGTGATTCTAGTCGGGTGGGCGGGTGCCAGCAGCGTTCGATTGAAAAGCATGCATTTAGTTTTACTAGTGTTTAAGAGCAGTTGGAGGCTACTGAAGGAGTGTTGTATGGCATTGAAGCTCGTTTGGAGGTTTGTTAACACAGTGTCCAATGAAGGGCCAGATGTATACAAAATGGTGTCGTCTGCGTAGAGGTGGATCTGAGAGTCACCAGCAGCAAGAGCGACATCATTGATATACACGGAGAAAAGTGTCGGCCCAAGAATTGAACCCTGTGGCACCCCCATAGAGACTGCCATAGGTCCAGACAACAGGCCCTCCGATTTGACACACTGAACTCTATCTGAGAAGTAGTTGGTGAACCAGGCGAGGCAGTCATTTGAGAAACCAAGGCTATTTAGTCTGCCAATAAGAATGCGGTGGTTGACAGAGTTGAAAGCCTTGGCCAGGTCGATGAAGACGGCTGCACAGTACTGTCTATTATCAATCGCGGTTATAATATCGTTTAGGACCTTGAGCGTGGCTGAAGTGCACCCATGACCAGCTCGGAAACCGGATTGCATAGCGGAGAAGGTACGGTGGTATTCGAAATGGTCGGTGATCTGTTTGTTAACTTGGCTTTCAAATACTTTCGAAAGGCAGGGCAGGATTGATATAGGTCTGTAGCAGTTTGGATCTAGAGTGTCACCCCCTTTGAAGAGGGGGATGACCGCGGCAGATTTCCAATCTCTGTGGATCTCAGACGTTATGAAAGAGAGGTTGAACAGACTAGTAATAGGGGTTGCGACAATTTCGGCGGCTAGTTTTAGAAAGAAAGGGTCCAGATTGTCTAGCCCAGCTGATTTGTAGGGGTCCAGATTTTGCAGCGCTTTCAAAACATCAGCTGTCTGAATTTGTGTGAAGGAGAAGCGGGGGGGGCATGGGCAAGTTGCAGCGGAGGGTGCAGAGTTGGTGGCCGGGGTAGTGGTAGCCAGATGGAAAGCATGGCCAGCTGTAGCAAAATGCTTGTTGAAATTCTCGATTATTGTAGATTTATCGGTGGTGATAGTGTTTCCTAGCCTCAGTGCAGTGGGCAACTGGGAGGAAGTGCTCTTATTCTCCATGGACTTTACAGTGTCCCAAAACTTTTTGGAGTTAGTGCTACAAGGACGCAAATTTCTGTTTGAAAAAGTTAGCCTTTGCTTTCCTGACTGCTTGTGTATATTGGTTCCTAACTTCCCTGAAAAGTTGCATATCGCGGGGGCTATTTGATGCTAATGCAGTACGCCACAGGATGTTTTTGTGCTGGTCAAGGGCAGTCAAGTCTGAGGAGAACCAGGGGCTATATCGGTTCTTAGTTCTGTATTTTTTGAATGGGGCATGTTTATTTAAGATTGAGAGGAAATTACTTTTAAGGAACAACCAGGCATCCTCTACTGACGGAATGAGATCTATATCCATCCAGGATACCTAACCCTAACCCTAGCTTCAGGTCCACATCCTGGTTCAACTTTAAACCTAACCCTCAACCACAACCCTAACCCTAGCTTCATGTTTGCCTCCCGGTTCAACCTTAACCCTCAACCCTAACCCTAGCATCATGTCCACATCCTGGTTCAACCCTAACCCTAGGGTCAACCACAACCCTAACGCTAATACTACCTTCATGTCCACATCCCAGTTCAACCCTAACCCTAGGGTCAACCACAACCCTAACCCTAATCCTACCTTCATGTCCACATCCCGGTACAACCCTAACCCTAGCCGTAACCACAGCCCAAACCCTAATCCTACCTTCATGTCCACATCCCGGTTCAACCCTAACCCTAGCCGTAACCACAGCCCAAACCCTAATCCTACCTTCATGTCCACATCCCGGTTCAACCCTAACCCTAAGCTCCACCACAGCCCTAACACTAATCCTACCTTAATGTCCACATCCCGGTTCAACCCTAACCCTGGCCGTAACCACAGCCCTAACCCTAATCCTACCTTCATTTCCACATCCCGGTTCAACCCTAACCCTATCCTTAACCACAGCCCTAACCCTAACCCTACCTTAATGTTCAAATCCTGGTTCAACCTTAGCCCTAGCCTCAACCGCAACCTAGCTTCAACCAAAACCTTAACCCTAGCCCTAGCTTCAACCCTAGCCTCAACGCTATCTGTGAGGTGATGGTGGTGGGACTTACAGCCTGTTCCTGGCAGATCTGTGTGAGTCGTTCCAGCTGCTCCTCCCTGACAGCCTTGGTCTTCTCACACTGCAGGATCTCCAGCTCCATCTCTACCTTCACCTGTAACACATAGGCTGAGAGAGGGAGGATACAGATAGAGAGGGGAAGAGACAGATAGAGAGAGGGAAGAGACAGATAGAGAGAGAGAAGAGACAGATAGAGAGAGAAGAGACAGATAGAGAGAGAAAGAGACAGATAGAGAGAAGAGACAGATAGAGAGAGGGAAGAGACAGATAGAGAGAGGGGAGAAGAGACAGATAGAGAGAGAGGGAAGAGACAGATAGAGAGAGAAAGACAGATAAGAAGAAAGAAAGAGAAAGATAGCAGATAGAGAAGATAGAAGAGACGATGAGGAAGAACAGTAGAAGACATAAGAGAAGACTAGAGGAAGGACAGATAGAGAAGGAGAGACAATAGAGAGAGGGAAGAAGATAGAGAGAAAGAGAAGAGAGAGACAGATAGGAGGAAGAAGAAGGAAGAGACAGATAGAGAGAAGAGGAAGAGACAGGAAGAACGATAGAGGAAGAAGAGAAATAGAGTAGAGAAAGATAATGAAGAGAAGAAGAAGACAGATAGGAGAGAGGAGAGAGAAGAGACAGTAGAGAGAGAGAAGAGACAGATAGAGAGAGAGGGAAGAGACAGATAGAGAGAGAGGGAAGAGACAGATAGAGAGAGAGAGAAGAGACATAGAGAGAGAGAGAGAAGAGACAGATAGAGAAAGACAGATAGAGAGAGAAGAGACAGATAGAGAGAGGGAAGAGACAGATAGAGAGAGGGAAGAGACGAGAGAGAGAGAAGAGACAGATAGAGAGAGAAGAGACAGATAGAGAGAGAGGGAAGAGACAGATAGAGAGAGAGAGAGATAGAGAGAAGAGACAGAAAGAGAGAGAAGAGATAGGGGAGGGAGAGAGAAAGGGATTAGACCATATCTTCACTCAAAACCAAACACATGCACACACAGCCTGGCCTCAGAGCCATACGAAACATACTATACGTATTTCTGAGGACCTCCAATACGTATGATATATACGCACACAAGACACAGAAGTCCACATGCTCTGGTATTGACTTCAGCTGAGTCATATTCCCTCTTCTGTTCTACACAGTGACCTTAGTGCACATCTCCTCTTCTGCTACGGCTGATTTTCCTGTTTAGGGCCAGATTACTAGGCCATACAGACTGGGACTTTTTTTGTGTAGCAGCAGAGTGAATAACCAAGCCCTCTACAGACCTACTAGTGAACTACTGACAGCAGGCAGTGCCTGCAGCCATCTCTCTCCAGCAGCTCTGCTCTGCTCTCCCATAGCCTATTAATAGAGCTGTTGATGTGAACATGCAGGGACAGGGAGGGAGACACCAGAGGGGGCAGGCCGGAACAGCACAGCAGAACGCATGGGGAGGGAGAGCAGAGGGGGGAGGAAGAAACAGCGGAACTCAGGGCTGGGGAGGGAGGGGGAGAGCAGAGGGGGGAGACAGGCACAGCAGAACTCATACTCAACAAGGGGAGCAGAGCAGAGGGGGCAGGCAGGCACAGCCAAATTCACATTCACCAAGGGGAAGCTGAAGTGGGGGATTATTAGCTGCCCAATTTGTGCATGGCTATAATAAGCATGTCAAAGACGGCTGGTGTACTGTGTGTGTGCGTGTGTGACTGCTGACAGCTGCTGGCATGGCAGGACATGCCGAGCAGCAGTGTAATTCGCACCATGGTTGATTCCACAGCACCTCCGTCACAAAAGCCTGTTCCACTCTCACCTCTCCTCTCAGCTCAGGCCAAGTGCAAAGCCCCTGGCCTCCACACCTCTCTCTCTCTCTCTCTCCATCTCTTTCTCTCCCCCTCCCTCTATTTCTGTCTCTCTCTCTGACTCTCTCTCTCTCTCTCTCTCTCTCTCTCTCTCTCTCTCTCTCTCTCTCTCTCAATTCAATTTCAATTCAATTTAAGGGCTTTATTGGCATGGGAAACGTGTGTTCTCTCTCTCTCTCTCTCTCTCTCTCTCTCTCTCTCTCTCTCTCTCTCGCTCTCTCTCTCTCCATCCATCTATCTGATACTTTTTTAGTGAGAGATGAAAGGAAAGAATGTATTCTATCTTATTACTTTTCTTGGTGTGTAATCGATGTTGCTCTCGACTCTCCAGCACTTACTGTATTGGTGCGAGTTTGATTTTCTTGCTAAGCGTGGCTGGCTGCCTAACTACCCAACTCAATCACTCAAACACATCTAAACAAACAGGTTGAAGAAAATCAAGAGCTCATGCCCTGGAGACAGATACTCTGAACGAATGTGAAGTACTAAGTTGTTCTCTAAAGTGATTGCATTGTTTTGTTGATGATTGTATTGCTGCAGAATTAATCAATGCTGTTGGGCGTTTCTTCTGTTGACGTCTAAAAACGACTTAACATGCTTTAGATGTACCGCATTATGATTACTGCCCCATTTTCTGATATGACTAGTGTTGGATTTTAACTTACTTTCTCAAAATGCTAATATCGGATTTAGCATCAAAGCAGAGCTGATAAATTAGTTAATTTCACCTGGATTGGCAATAATACTAGTACAAACTATATGTACAGTATTTCAGATTCTATGTAGCTCTTAAACTGAGTGTACGAAAACATTAAGGACACCTTCAAAATAGCATCAATTCGTCGGGACATGGACTGTACAAGGTGTGGAAAGCATTCCACAGGGATACTGGCCCATGTTGACGCCAATGTTTCCCACAGTTGTGTCAAGTTGGCTGGTGGACCATTCTTGATACACACGGTAAACTGTTGAGCATGAAAAACCCAGCAGTATTGCAGTTCTTGATGCAAACATTTTACATTGACATTTTAGTCATTTAGCAGATGCTCTTATCCAGAGCGACTTACATGAGCAATTGGGGTTAAGTGCCTTGCTCAAGGGCACATCGACAGATATTTCACCTAGTCAGCTCGGGGATTAGTACCAGCGACCTTTCAGTTACTGGCACAATGCTCCTTAACCACTAAGCTACCTGCCGCCCCGGTGCGCCTGGCACCTACTACCATACCCCATTCAAAGGCACTTAAATATTTTGTCTTGCCCATTCACTCTCTGAATTGCACACACACAATCCATGTCTCAATTGTCTCAAGACTTAAAAATCCTTCTTTAACCTGTCTCCTCCCCTTGATCTACACTGATTAAAGTGGATTTAACAAGTGACACCAATAAGGGATCATAGCTTTCACCTGGATTTACCTGTTCCATCTTATGTCATGGAAATTGTAGGTGTCCTTAATGTTTTGTACACTCAGGGTATGTAGGCCTATGTAGCTCTCATGTAGACTACAGAGGTCATGTACTGTATGTACACTGTTTCTGGTCTGGAGATTGGTCGATCATACATGCAGAGCTGATGGTGAGGTCATGTAAGTATACTGTCTATAGCTAGAGAGACTGAGGTCTGTAGGTTGATCATACATGCACAGCTCTCACTGAGACTGAGGGTGACCTCCTGTTAGAAATCGATCAGCGTTACATTAGCATAATGTAGAACAGCTGGTATAGTCATTATCATGGCTTCTCTGAATCTGTTTAAACAGGGCTTTGGATCAATACCAGTTTAAGTAGGAGAATGGGTGGCAATTTACTCCGAGGGATGATCAATAACTATATTGTTCTGAATAGTAAATAATGTGTATAATCATGGGGAGAATGGGGTCGTGTTGTCATTGCAGGATTGATTCACCAATCGTGTATTGAATAAGCAATAGACTTTATCATCCTTAGGTGAAGTATGATATTTTCGAATTTAGCGCTAAAATTGTAAATAAAAAAAACATTTTTGTCATTATTGTCATTTAGCAGACGCTCTGATCCAGAGCGACTTACAAAGTGCATTCATCTTAAGATAGCTAGGTGAGACAACCAAGTATCACAGTCGTAGTCCCTCTTGTAGAAGATCAGTCAGGTGTAATAATTAAGGACTGATAGTTGAAGTTCAAACTCATCAATTGGTACAACGTAAGGTTGTTTCACATTTTGCAATAATATCTCACTAGAGCCAGTCCTAACTAACTAACCGTCCATCTAAGAGTAATACCAAGAACACTAAGGAAAGCTGTTGACTGAGAAGGACGATGACTACACCTAGGTCATGAATGACTCTAGTAAGACATCCTCCAGCAGGGCTTTGACAGACAGATAGACAGACAGACAGACAGACAGGGGAGGCAGGGACACAAGGGAGCGTCTGGTCTGCTCCGTCCTCGGTCTCACCGTCGATGATTCTCTTGACCCTCCAGATGCGCAGGGTGATGATGAGGCTGATGGCGTCCCAGGGGCTGCTGGGGCCGTTGGCTACCGTGGAGGCTACCATAGGGGCCAGGGACAGCACAATGACCGCCCCATCAAACACCTGCAGGCATGAGTACACACACACAAACACAAACACAAACACACACACATCACATGCTACACTGTCACAGACTAGTCATCTTTGTCCATTCTACACAGTCATTAGAAGAGATTACATTGTCTGAGGTTTATTATGTGAGGACATTTGCAATGCACACAGACTTTTTGGCAGCATTTAACATTTAACAACTGTCGTGAATTGATTTATGGAAATAGTTTTTTTGTTCAATGATAAAACTCATGATTTCTCGAGGGAAAGTTACTATATTTTCATTACTTGCTATGAAGCTTGCTAAATTAATCTTACCTCTACTTTGTTCTCAATGTAGTCCCAAATCCCAAGGACGACAATCCTGAAGACAGTCTGTGAAAAGAGGGAGAGAGAGAATGGATGGAAGGGGAGGAAAAAAGCTCAATACAACCTCTCCCATGACATGCAAAACATTGTCACTCTCCTCAGGTTTCAACACATCTATAACACATTCTGAAGAGTCATTTGGATATGGACAAAAAAAGGTTACAGTCTCCATTTATATACTGCTGCTGTGAATGTGGGCTTTCTTCAGCTCAAGCCTTCCTTTTCTACATGGTCACAGAAAGTAACATATCAAATCTTTGAAGGATACTTTTTACAAGTCTTTCGATCGATCAGAATGTCAGGGGAGGGTGGGAAAAGGATATTGATCCTGGACACTGTACAATGGCCCTCCTAGTTGTCTGATCTTCCCTGATCCATTATGTACAGTAACACACACTAGTGTTGGGTTGGGATGGTCCTTTATTTGGAAAAGGTGGATGATAGAGTTACAATCTAATCATGCTGAAAGGGTGACAATGGAAAAGTGGCCTGTCTCATTCATCATGCAGTAGCACATTATGAAAACAACGGCTCCACTGTCAGAGAGAAGCAGAGAGGGACATTCCCTTTTTAGGGTCCTGCTCTCTGATTGGTGGATTGGAAGCAGATGGTGACCATTTAATGAGTCAATGTTCCTATAGTTACAGTAACTATAGTTTAGTTTTTAATATATAGACCTTGAATAACATTCCAATCTGACACCTTTCATCTATAGTGTCAGGGAGCAAAGGTGTTATAAGGTGTTGGGTGGATCATATGACTGTAACCCAAGCCCTAAACCTTGTTAACCTCCTCTTTAATTATTATTCAACCGTGTGTGTGTGTGTGTGTGTGTGTGTGTGTGTGTGTCATTCTTACCTCAGTGAAGAAGAGTGAAAGGATGGCAAGGCTGATCCAATGGATGATGCTGGCAAATTGAACAGCATTGGCAACTGGAATAAATAACAAGAGAAGAGAAAAATGTGTATCTTAAAGGATGGTGACTCCTTTACTGCTTGGTCTTGATGGAATCGATCAAAATCTGGCAGATAAATGGTGCGTAGATATGAAATGATCATGCCTTTTACCACTATTCCTCATTTCCATCTAACAGTGTTGTAAACGCTCCCTCCCCCCTCTCTTCTTCTCCTTCCCCCTCCATCGGTCCATCAGCCCATTTATCCCTCTCTGTATCTCCCTCCATTAATCCATGTGCCAACCTGTACCTCTCCATCTCCTCCAACACTAATTCCCTCCTTCCCACTCCCTCCATTTGTCTTTCCAGAGCTGGCAACAGGACAGCCAGGACAGTCAGAATCTATGGTAATGCATCTGAAGTGACTGGTGTCCTGTAGTCCCCAGAGCAGAGCAGAGTGGAGTGGAGCGAGAATCAGCTATCAATACTGACCTGTCTCTTGGGGTGCGTCTCAAATGGCACCTTATTCCCTATATTGTGCACTACTTTTTATCAGGGCCCAAAGGGCTCTGGTCAAAAGTAGTGCAGTATGTAGGGGATAGGGTACCATTTGGGACGCAACCTTGGCTTACAGCCCATAATGTAATCAATGATGACACCTGCCCAGACAGTCAGTGCTGTTGAGTAGAGACTAGTTCATAGAGTCATTTACTATCCCGGCTGGCAATGCTGTTTCTCTCTAATATGGGCCTTTCAGTCTCCTTACTTTCCTCTCTTTGGTAAGAAATGTAATCATGTTTATAAAACAGTTGTATATAAGGTTGGAACGCATGTTAATGCAGTATCATGATAATTGTCTCTATGAGCTGTATTCCCAAAACATGGGTCACAGGATCAAGGGAGCACAGGACTACCCAAGCCTAACTTTCTAGAGTCACTAGCACACAGTGTATAAGGATATTCCTTTACTGTCAATGCTAAGGATAGTTACATTGTAGATGCTTGGTGTCTATGAGGAGTTCCACGGTTAAGAAGACCACCACCAGGATGACCAGTGCCACCAGGAAACAGTTGAAGCCTGCACTGAGCAGACACACCTGCCACAAGGCTACCCTCCGACCACAGCACGGCTTCAACCAGTTAGACCTGGAGGGAGGGAGGGAAAGAGGAGAGGAGGAGATAGGGAGAGAGGAGAAAGGAGGAGGAGAGAGGGACAAGAGAGTCAGTGTTAGTACACCAAAGACAGGGAGAAAGTACTTGTATATGGAGTACTTGTATACAAGTACTTGTATATGGACACAGGTTTGTATTCACCATTTGCTTCTTCAACGATCCTACTCCAAAAACAAAAAAAAAAAAAAACATTGTAAAGTGGTTATCCCACTGGCTATAAGGTGAATGCACCTATTTGTAAGTCGCTCTGGATAAGAGCGTCTGCTAAATGACGTAAATGTAATGTTCCTTCTAATTGCCAGCAAGGGGTGCTATTTAACACATAACCGCATCAATGCAATGTAGTGAACCAATTTCTAAACCCAGCCTGGGTTTGGTGGGCCGGGGCAGTGGAGGGGGAAGAGAGTGAACAGAACAGAGGCTGCATTAAGACAGAAAGACACTGAGGCTCTTTGAGTTGGTGACTCGTCTCTCAGGCATATCAGTGAGAGGATTAGTAAAGCAACTATATTCAGAGGGCAATGAAGGGGTGACTGTAGATTAGAAGACTCCATATAACAGTAATGAATTTCAAGTTATTGAAAGAAAACACATGGATAAAATGTTATACATAGCTCTTTCCCAGACCCACTGTTCCCTCCCTCTATTAGCAGTGGGAGACAGACAGGAGAAACGATGCCAGAGCTCCAGCCAGAATGGAAACTTGGCAAGTCCTCTTCTACTCCTTTCACTGCTCCCCATGTACTGGGCCTGGCATAATCACACCACTTCTGTGATCATGTCTTCATTCCCTAGCATGGTGCTAATTAGAGCTAAAACAATCAGTGGCAGTGGGCAGAATCAGTGGCAGTGGAATGGAATAAAGCTGTATTTTTATCAGGGTTAGGGTCAATTCCATTTCAATCCAGTCAGGATGTAAACTGTAATTCTAATTCATTTTACTTCCTGAATTTACTGAAATTCATTGACATGAAATTGACCCCAAATCTGATTTTCATACAGTCAGGTAGGAGTTGTGTAGATTGGCCATTGGACTATTACTGATAGGACCAAGGCACGGGGCATGGGAGCAGAGCAGAGAAGAGCAGTGCTCAGGGCACTCCCCTTCACACACGCATATATTCCCAGGGTAGAGATGTTTATGTATCACGTCCTCATTTGAGGGCAACTGCTGCTGTTGTTAAGTTATTAGTAGGGAATGAGGCTTGGCTGGAATGCCTTTAGATGTTTAAATGGGGCCATTTAGTGTAAATGTTAAGCGACGTGTGGATATGAATATGCAAGTGATACTGTATGTATGAGCCTCATAATATTATGTAGGAATTGTTACATGAACTGTGTCTTACTTACTCATGCAAACGAGAACGATACACCATTTGGGTGTGTGTGTGTGCTTACAGGATGTGCCCAATTATACCACAGTGAATGATAAACAGGCATCCTCTCTGAAGTATTAATATTATTCTCCTCTATTCATTCCGACTTCATCCTGAGTAGGTTAACACGAGGCAATGAGCAAAGGACTCTTATAGCAGCTGCTGAACTGTTCCCTTCACCCCCTTCTTCTCCTCTCAGTCTCTCTCTCTCTCTGAGGGTAGTGGTAGGTACACTTGGCACAGGCAAACCCACAAGCCTGTAAACAATGCTAGGCTAATCTAATAGAGCCATAATCATGCTGTTAGCAATCATCTTTCTGGCGCTCGGTGAGGCTCGGTGGGGCTGGAGTGTGTATGGTGGGCCAGATGGTGTTGACTCTGCTCTCTCTCTCTACCGTCGGTGGCCGTGGTGCCTCAGCCAGACTCACAGGATGCAGTTACCACCATGCCAGCCTGGGCCTGGATACCTCATCTCCACGTCCCCTTATTTCCTTATCTCATCTCTGCAACGTATAGGGGACAGACAGCAGGGTGGAGTCATATGCTAGAGCTCATGTTAGAAAAGTGCCATAGATTTGACAGATCTGCTCAGATTTTTACATGTATTTCATTTATTTTTGTTGTCATTTGGCAGACGCTCTTATCCAGAGCAACTTACAGGAGCAATTAGGGTTACGTGCCTTGCTCAAGGGCACAGACAGATTTTTCACCTAGATGGCTCGGGGATTCAAACAAGCGACCTTTCGGTTACTGGCCCAGCGCTCTTAACCGACAGGCTACCTGCCGCAGATCAGCTGCTAGGAGAATGGTAATACTTTGGAAATTAAAGAATAAAGTATACACTAATTATTCTGTTCTCTTCACACTGCGTGTGATACATAATGATACATCTCAACCAATCAACTATTTCCTCCAGGTCTCTCTAACCACCCCACCTGACAGCATACAGTATGTTACCATACTAGAGGGGATGTCATTGAACAAACTCAAGCTGCTAGGCCTAAATCCCTGTTTTACCCTCCAAACATGGCCATGCCAAAAACCATGAGACCCTAAGCATTATGCTGCTTTTAGACTGTAACACCAGTGTTACACTAGTGTATACACCCTTATGGTATACTAGGGAAATTGTGTTTTCCCTAGTATAACAGTTGCTTTGTGAGAAGGTGTTAAAGTTCACAGTGAGCCATTGTTATGTAAATGACAGCTGAAATGTACCATTAGCCTGGCTTTGGCCCCAAGTGATAGCAGGTCCGCCGGAGCCATGGCCCAGTAAGACACGGGTGCCGACCCGCGTCGATGGAAACAGAAAAGTTTGAGCCTTTTGGGTAAAATAATGGGGTAAATCCTGTATGGCCATTAAGACATTGGTTCCCAACTCCAGTCCTCGAGTACCCCCAACAGCAGACATTTTTTTTTCAAGCAAACCTGCCTTAAGAGACAGAGCAATTTATCTAATTAGGTAGATCCTATCATCCTTTCTACTGTTCTAGCCGTCACAGGTATATAAAATAAAGGCAATGTTATTAATCATCTAAGTGAAATATATGGGAACAAAAGAACAGTAAGGAATGGAGATAATTTTTCCCATCAAAAAGGCTCCAGTTAAGGTTATCTATGACAGCTGTGAAAGTGATGTATTGTGGGTAGTTCATGGATATAGACCTACACATCATTGTGTAACACCTGACTTTCTAACATTTGGTGGTGACCTTACTTGACAGTTGAAGGAGTTGCTTTGATTTGCTTTGGGGCAATTCTCTGCAGTTATATTCTACATTCAAATGCATCTCAGGAACGCATCGTTTCGTAGTTCATTTATACTGCCCTCCGCAGAGAGGGTAAAATATGATAATTTCTCCAGAACAATAAAAAGCCTTGAGTAGGAGTAGTAAAACAAAGTATTAAAGATAAATTACTCTGTTCACAAGCTGAATGTGCTGAAAAACACTTCAGGGCCTCATTACTAAAGGAGAAATGGTACTTTAAAAGAGTGAAACTGCAAAAACTGCATGAGATAAACTACATGTAACTGCCTAAATAAAGTGTCTTAATAGGGTGTTAGGCCATCATGAGCCACAACAGCTTCAATGCACCTTGGCATAGATTCTACAAGTGACTGGAACACTATTGGAAGGATGAGACACCATTCTTCCACAAGAAATTCCATAAATTTGTGTTTTTTTTTATGGTTGTGGAAAACGCTGTCTCAGGCGCCGCTCCAGAATCTCCCATACAGTAAACAATGGCCTGCCTAGCATTTTTATACATGACCCTGAGCATGATGGGATGTTAATAGCTTAATTAACTCAGGAACCACACCTGTGTGGAAGCACCTGCTTTCAATATACTTTGTATCCCTCATTTACTCAAGTGTGTTCCATTATTTTGGCAGTTACCTGTACATTACAATTACTATCCCTTACAAGACAATATGGGCTGAATTCCTGGCCAAGAACTGGACTAAACAGCACTGAATAAAGATTCTACATTGAACATGCTTTTCAGTCCAGGAGTAGGCTAATGTTTTAGGAAACCAACCCTGCATGTTTTCACAAACAGTAGGCCAAAAGACAAGACATCAGGGGCTCGATTCAATCCGTATAGAGGAAGTTTAACGCTATAGCCCGATTCAATTTTAAAGGTAATTTCCGATTGAGCCGAACTATGCAGCGTTTACTGTGAATGCCTTTAAATTTCAATCGCACTATAGCACTGAACTTCCGCGATACGGATTGAATCGAGCCCTCTGGTCTCATCCACTCAAGGAAAGAACAACACCACACTATGTCACAGACAAGGGCCTGCAGAAAGGGGTGCATCATGGACATGACATCACATAGGCTAAACTCTGAGGAGTCAACAAAACAATGACATACCAGACATCCTAAATATGTACAGCACACTTATATCCTTAACTCATGTCTGGACATGGATGTCCCAAAGGAACACACTCTGACACTCTCTCACCCTCTCTCTTTCATGCATTATTCCTGTCTGTCTCTTTCTCTCTTTTGTGTCTCTCTCTCTAATTCTTCCTGTCTATGATGCTCTCTTCCTGTCTCTCTCTGTCTCTATCACTCTCTCCATCTCTCTCCCTCTTCACACGTCCGTGTAGGATAGATTGATAAAGGCATCAGTGGAGCCCTGGTGCGGAGGAGATTGAACCGGGCTGGACAGGGAAACAGAGGAGGTAGATTAAATCATGCTATCAATATGACCGAGCTGAGCGGCGCGAGCAAGGAGTGTGCGGCTAAACACAGCAATCAGCCAACATCCCTCCCTCAGAGTGCAGATGGTCCATGATAAAGACAAGGACTCCAACTCCTCCACACACTGACTGACTGCAGTAGATGATACACCACCTCTCTCTCTCTCTCTCTCTCTGATCTCTTATTTGCCTTCATCAGGGCTCGGATTAGAATTTATTAGCCAATCACAGATGATTTGTATTACACAGTCTATTTGCTCAAGCATCACAGCAGAATCAGGGGGAACAGGAGGATTGAGCTGCCTTCATCTCCCTTCCTTCTCTTCCTTCCCTTCAAACACATTATCAGGACGTGACCTTTTAGATCATTGCAGGAAATATAGACCTACTCACTGGCTCCCCAGTCGAGAGAGGAGAGAGAGAGAGAGAGAGAGAGAGAGAGAGAGAGAGAGAGAGAGAGAGAGAGAGAGAGAGAGAGAGAGAGAGAGAGAGAGAGAGAGAGAGAGAGAGAGAAGAGAGAGCCTCTGCTCTCCTAGAGAGGAGGAGGAGAGAGAGAGCGAGAT